TATTTAAGCGCTAAGGTTAATATTAACGTGAATATAATGCATTTAATTATTAATAAATAAATTGTTAATTTTATGTTGTTTTTTAATCCTCTGGTGCATAGAGTAGAGCAATCGGAAACGCTGCGTACGATTCCCATTGGTATCAATGCAGATTTCAACAGAGCCGGATTATCTTGTTTTTGATAATGAAATCGCAGAATCAGTTGACGATTACAGTTGGGAAATTTATGGACCTTTCTCTCGAACGATACGTCAGCGTAAGAATATTTTTTAAATATTTTTATATTGTAAAAATTAGAATTTCTTCTTAAAAATATATAATATGGTATTGACAATTCCACGCCTATTATTTATACTGCTACAGTTTTTATAATAATTAATATTTCATATGCATCTTTTACATTGTCTACATTTTCATGAATCAATCTAGTGACAAAAACGTATAATATTGTTATAGATTGTAAAAGCTTCAGCATCTTACATATCAGTTATGCTAGCAGTATATTATTGACAACAATGATACGAGTGCTTAATCATAATAGTAATTTATAATTGTTAAATCTGATTATTATATATAAAGAATGTGCACGAATTGAATAAAAATTGTATTTCGTTGTGACTGTATCACTGTAATATTGTCTTATTTTTATTATTTGAATGATTCGCGCACATGAATGTGCGTACAAATCAATAATTCGAATTAATTCACTATATTAATCGTAGATAATAAGATTGATATATATTTAATTCTCTTTACATACCTGAGAGAGATATATTATACGAAGATCAAAGAATTGTATGAGTAATATTCATATTTATAATACTTAATAATTTTATTTTTTTTTCTTAATTAATTATACTTTTATATTTTTAATTTTACCGAGACTTTAGAGCAAGTTTTATTTTAATGTGCATTCGCGTCTACAATCCGTCATATTTCATACTGCACCCTGAATTATTAAAGCAAATAAGTTGCGAATGCGCAGTAACTGTTTTACATGAAAAATATCCTCAGACAAGTTTTTTTTCTTTAAAGGTGACTGTTGTGAGAAGTTAATACTTTATGACTAAATTCGTTATTTCGTGCTGTAATAATTACTTGATCAATTTCTTTATATTTTCCTCTTGAATCTTTTTTCTGCCCTTTAGATCTTAAAACTTTTCCAAAGATCGCATTTTGCCAACAGAGGTATATACATCGTATAGATCACTACATATCATTACATATTTATGCAAATTATTCACGAATGCATCGTCTGCATTGAACAGAACGTTAGACAACACTGCCTATTCCCTTTTTTTTTTTAAATTATAAGAGATTGCTTCTTCGTGATGTGCACGCATATGATAAAAATATTTAATGAGCAACCGCTATTGGTCAATCGCCGAAGGGTGCTGTTTGCTTCACGATACTCGTTTCTAGAACTCCAGTCTTCATGCAAATTTTCTACAACGTACGTCAAGTCGAGGAGAATATAATTTTAGCCAGCATACCACATGTTTCTTATAGTTTGAAAGTATCTCTAGATTTTGACGCACTGACTTATAGACAATTACAGAGAAAAACACGAAATTATGAGGAGTAAACGTACAATCAATCGCACGGTAGAACTTATGCTCACTATGTTTGGTGTCTGGCCAGGAATATCATGCGTCATATTCTATAGAGTGTTTTGGATGATTACGCTAGCAATTGATCAATTCTTCCACTACTCGTATTTTGTAACGCATTTTCATTTGGATAATCTTTTCGATTTGATGGATTGTTTGAGTAGCTTTTTGGCGCATGTAAAACTAACCGTTAAGCTCATTATTTTCTCGTTGAAACAACGGTAAGCGACAATTAATAATCAATTAAATAATTAAAATTTTGTAAGAAAATAATGTGAAATTATGCTGCAACGTTCTGAAATATTCAATTGTTTATAGAAAATTCGTAGAAATCTTGACAACGATGGCGGAAGACTGGAATGATTGTGATAACGGCGGCGTTGCATTACGCGAAACGGCAGGCAAAGCAAAACTATCAAGTCGCATTTGTAATGGATTAATTATTCTTCATACAATCGCCGCGTTTGCATATGTCATTGGTATCCTTCTGGCCGATGCCGACGTCACCGATCGAACGGCTGAACTCCCTCTCATGATGAAAATGGAATATCCCTTCGTTATAGACACGCAACGCAAGTACAGTCTGGTATTAGCTGCGCAGTTCGTTTTCGTGATGGTGTGCAGTTGGGGAGCTGGTTTATTCAACGCTCTGTTTCTAACTCTGGTAACCTGCACCTACATAAGCAAGTATCATAAAGCAAAGCATAATTATATTTGTAATTAATATCCAACTGTAAATTATTTGCATAAATATTAGGATAAAGAGAATTAAATATTCATCAGGTTTTATTCGCTCTCGTACAGCTTATTATGTTCACATTTTTCATAACAATACTTTTATGATTTAAAAATAAAACAAATAACTGTAATCACATTGTCCTAAATAACAGAGTCTTTATTTGTAGACTCTACACGTGGGCAGTCAAATGAACATTCTGCTTTGCTGGTTGACGCAAGTTGGATCCAAAAACATCGAGAACAAGCGTGATTCATTCGTCACTGTCATGACAAAGATCATTCGAAAGCATCAAAAGATTATCAATCTGTCAGAGAACGTTGAAAATCTCTATTCATATATCGCTTTGCTTCAATTCGCGTCAAATATAGTGATGATTTGCTCATTAGCATTTCTTATTGTAACTGTGAGTAAAGTTATTTAAATTTTAAATATAAAAGTACGTATTCCACCTTAGAATTAATTGCATTAGTTAATTTTTTATAGTGATCTTTGTTGAATATTTATTATATCGCATTATTTAATTTATTATAAATAAAGATTTATATTATAATAAACTAAATAATGCGAGAAAAAGAGAGAGAGAGAGATGTTGAAATAACTTTCCATGTGTTGAATACTTTTATTTTCATTCTACCTCACATTGCAGGCAATCGGCAGTCCTGATGCCACTGAACAAATAATCAGGTCTCTTTTATTTTACGCTGTAACGAATCTCGAAGCATTTATATTTTGTTTCGCTGGAGAATATCTAAGCAATAAGGTTAGCAACGTAAGATTATTGCGATTGCAATGAAAGGATATAAACAATCTAATGCTTGTGGTAATAATAATAATATTATAGAGAAAAATATTGTAGAATTACTATTTTTAATATTTCTATCTTCATAGAGCAAAGCAATCGGAAATGCAGCATACAATTCTGCTTGGTACGATATGAAAACTAAGGATAGTCGTGTCCTATTATTTATAATTTTAAGATCTCAAAGGCAATTGAAGCTTACGGCGGGCAAGATGACAGTTCTCTCTTTAGAATGCTTTACAAATGTAAGATATATAATGATTTAAAGAATTTCTCTTAATTTTTTGTGTATAATAAAAAATAGTTACCAATATTTTTGTTATCTATCAGTGAATAATATTATAATATTATATTACAATGTTCAGGTAGAGACTTTTGTGCTACATATATCAACTTTTTATATGTACGAGTACAGACATATTGTTTTCTTATTTTAAAAGTAACACAACAATAAATTAAGTTTTACAAAAAACAAATATTTTTGACCTGACAAAAAATTATTAAATCATATCGGTAAAAAGAGTGCATGTTTTTGACTGGTTAAATTTCATTTTTGTTATTTTCGTTTCGCAACCCTTAAAAATCCACCCTTTTTGAATTATAACAATTTTGATGACCTTTTTATGAATTAAATTTTAGACTTTACTTTTAACAAATAATAGCATAATGTTTATTTAACTTATTTATAATAATTCAAAAATCACATTTCTGAGTTGTGTTACTTTTAAAATAAAACAATGATATGTCTGATAATAATGCACATATATTTTATCACTGATAGGAGTAACATTGTTGTAGATTATGAAGGCTTCGGGATCGTATTTGTCCGTACTTCTGGCAATGAAATAAATGCCGTAGTATCCATCATGTAATTTCATAAGTGACAGTCGCCTGAAGTAACAAAAATGATCAAATAACGATCGACTTTTTTAATTAGAAAAATTGAGACATAATATATGTATATATAAATATAGAAAAATATATATGTAATAAATATTTTTTAATTATATATTTTTAAACCAACATAGAGTATAATTATTAACTGTATATTGAAAACTGTAACACAGAAATCATGATTTTTTTCATTAGTGTGAGACAAATTTTATACTCTCTCATATATGGTTTCTATTTAGAAGATGCACCTATAGTGCTAATCCTTTAAACATACTTTTGTATATATGAAACACTATATTGTACTAAATATGGTACCTATGCGGTCTATACACTCTTATCAAACACCATAGCGCACTTAGATACGCTATAAACTGCTTTGCGCTATCAAAAATATTTATATATTATTAACACTAAACTTGAGTTTCTTGCTGTCTTTTTGCTGCTTTGTTGCATAAATTTCAAATCTTTTTCGAAGTGTACGCTGAAGTGCGACTGACCATCAGATGCGTACGTCGTCGCGTTCATGCTGCACGATCATTGCATATTTAAATTGGATAATACATGGCGATTACATTACCGGCACCCAAGAGAAGGAGAAATGACCCTCCTACGTATTCTCCCTCTTCTTATATCGATGTTGTGAAAAGCTACGGTATAAGTGTATGCGAGAGCGAGGACTGCGTGTGGCATGATGAAAATATTTAATGAGATACTCTCATTGGCCGATCATGGTAGAGAGCGCCCATTTGATGATCTCATAGGACCTCCCAGTCTTTATAAAGTTATTCTAGAACATACATCGAGTTCTCATTGGAAAATACTGAGTAGGAAATATTGTATCACAAAGAGAGAAAAATAGAGAAAGTAATTCTTTTACCTCCCTAAAAGAGCGTTTGTCCTATATATAAACTGATGTTTTCCTCGCGTAAAAACAACAGCGGAAAGAAATAAGGAATTATGACACGTAAAAGCACAATTAATCGTACGTTAAAATTAATGCTTACTCTGTGTGGTATATGGCCAGGCACAACGTGTATTATAATCTGCAGGGCGTATTGGATTATCGCATTAGCAATAGATGAAATTTGTCACTGCCGTTATCTTTTATTGCATTTGCATTCCAACGATCTTTTTGACTTGATGGACTGTTTCAGTAGTTTCCTAACGCAAGTAAAATTCACAATTAAGTTGATTATATTCTGGCTGAATGAAAGGTAAGTACAAATGCTATAAAATAAATAATTTGCATATGTATTACTCAAAGTTAATTTCGTTTCTTTTTCTGTCATTATTTCCTGTATTTATCATAATTAATATACAGATAAAAATAAATAAATAAATATTAATAACCCACAAATATTTTTTTTTTAATTTCTAACAATAAGCGCACAGAATTTTTGTACACATTTTATATTCGGCTCTAAAATAAAAAGAGATTAGAAAATTAGAATATCATTTAAAGAAATTATAAATACGTAAATAAAAATACGTTTATACAATTATACTTTATACGATAATATAATAATACTTTATACAATATACTTCTTTAAATACATAAGCTTCTGTGCCTTATATTTCTCCCATAGCCGGCAAAATAATCAAGTCAATAATTCGTAGAAAATTCTTTGAGATCTTGACGATGATGGCAGAAGACTGGAACGATTGCGCTGGCAGTAACATCAATATGCGCGAAACGGCATGCAAAGCTAAATTAGCAAATCGTATCACTAATGCGATGTTCACTCTTCACACGTTAACCATTGTTGCGTACAGTATTGGTGTTCTATTGGCCGACGTCGACGTCACTGAGCAATCCGAACTACCTCTTCTATTAAAGGTGGAGCTTCCTGTCAACATAAACACAAAACGCATGTATAAAATGCTCCTGACCATGCAATTCGTGCATCTCATCATGTCCGGCTGTGGAACGGGTTTATTGAACGCATTGCTCTTAACTTTGGTAAGTTGCAACTTGCAACGCGTGCGAGATATACTTGTCATAAGTAACATATTGATAATTGCTAATCAATATCGTCTTTAAACAATTTTTTTTTCGCTGTTTAATGCATTAATTTGAGCTTCGATTGATAAACACAATGTATAATTTTTATTTCTAGACTTTACATGTAGGTGGTCAGATGGATATTTTGCGTTGTTGGTTAAATGAACTTGTACCACAAGGAAATGAAGGATCCGAGTCTGTCGCCGTCACGACGAATAGAATTATTCGCAAGCATCAAAGAATCATTAACTTTTCGGAATACATCGAGGATTTATATACATACATCGCGTTAGTGCAATTTACATCAAACACTGTGCTCATTTGTTCTTTAGGATTTCTTATTGTAACGGCGAGTGAAAACATTCAGTATTACGCATAATAAAATGAATACTAAATTTTAAATAATTGAATGTGAATTATTGTTGCAAAATAACTTTTTGCAACTTGTTAGAGTGACGTAGAAGTCTACTTATAATTTTAGAACGCATTTAATAATTGTTACTTTAATATTGCAGGCAATTGGCAGTCCCGATGCAACGGAGCACATAGTGCGATCACTTTTATTTTACACCGTGACGAATCTCGAAGCATTTATATTTTGCTACGCAGGAGAATATTTAAAAAACAAGGTTAGACACAGGAAAATAATGGTGACAATAATCAATAACGATTATTTTGAGACTGTTGGAAAAACAAATTATAATAATATATATTAGGGCAATCTCTTTTAACGATTTCCAACTTTCTAGAGTAAAGCTATCGGAAATGCGGCGTACAATTCTGCCTGGTACGAAATGAAACCTAAAAACAGCCGTAATTTAATATTCGTGATATTAAGAGCACAAAAGCAATTGACACTTACAGTTGGAAAAATAATGGATCTCTCCTTAGAATCTTTTACAAGTGTAAGATTTATACGTAACACACAAAATAATTTTGGACAATAATTGTATACATAATATTTGTATCAAGATACTTTCTATATAAAATTTACTTTTCGTCTAAGTAATTTTTTTCTGCCAATCCATTATAAGTTTGCAAATTACTTATTATAGCAATATTTAAAACGCATTTTTTTCTTTTGGTGACAAAATTATAATCTTCTAAAATATTAATTTCTAATACAAAAGGTTCATACTTTATTATAGATCATGAAAGCATCGGGATCATATTTGTCAGTATTGCTGGCTATGCAATAACATCGCATATTTGAAGATTTTTATATAATAGTCGTGAAGCATATATTATGTAGATATATCTTCACTAGTAATAGAAATGCATACAGTAGTAGCAATACATATATATTTTTATGGCCTGAATAGTAGTATAATTTAGATATTCTAAAATCGTAGTAATCTGCAAAAGAATATAAAATCAGTCATTTTTTTATGTGTGTTATCAAAATATCTTAGATTCCTATTTCCTAAGAATTGTAAAATAATTATATTATATTATATGTCATATCGATAACATTTTTAGTCAATAACCAAAACTAAATTAATAACAAATATAAATAATCTGATGCGACTTTTGTGTTTTCCATGTTTAGTTTTACACAGATTTTGCATTTATGGAAAAAATATTAAATAAAGTAGTTAAATAATTAGATATACAATATATACACTTCTTGTTATAAAAGAATAACGTTAAAATTATTTACAAAAAATATAATATGGTAAGTTTTAATACAATGTTGTTAACTACTGTATAACAATTAGTCTGTTTGAATATTTATTTATAATACGTAAATTCTGATTGACATATATATGTAGTTCACATACATTTTCAGATAAAAATCCGTTTTGTTAATCCTAATTATATTTTCTCAATACCTATATTTCTATAACACAAAACCACTTTTTCGCTATTATATGCAAGTCAATGTAAAATTTTGTGGTATAGCAGATAGTTGCTAGTTGTTCATTCTTTAAAGAATAAAACTTTCCTGAAGCTCCGTGGTCACGATTGATCATCGGACATATACATCACCGTATCTACGTCTGCACATATCGTTATATATTTAAAGTGAACAATTCATGATTGTAGTACAAACGTATAGAGTAGAGAGGGAAAAAAAAGATCTCATCTATCTTTCCATTTCTCAAGTAAATGAAAAACCACAACGAAATATATTCGCAGTCTATGCACTCGGCACGATAAAAATATTTAATGAGCAACTCCAATTACGATCAATTGCCGAAGGTTGAATCTACTGATTTCTTAGAAGCTCCTAGTTTTCTTTATACAAGTATTCTATAATACGTAGAAACGCATGCGTTTTATCAGAGTATATTTCTTTTATCTATCTGAAGTTTTATGTTCTGTTGTACGCACCTTGATGGATTCGATTCTGTGCACAACGGAGAATAAAGAAAAATAAAAAATTATGACTCGTAAAAGTACACTTAACCGCACGTTGAAATTTATGCTCATTTTATGTGGTATTTGGCCGGGCGCATCGTATATTCTACTTTGTAGAATATTTTGGATTGTTTCGTTGATCGTTACCCTATTTTGCCATTACCGTTATTTTCTGACACATGTATATTCTGCCGAAATATTGGATTTAATGGACTGTTTATCCAGTTTTCTAGCGTATTCCAAAATCATTATTAAGTTCCTTGTGTTTTGGTTAAATCAGCGGTAAGTAATATTATTTAATTTATATATAATGTTGAAAACATTCGATAAAAAAATATTATGATTGATGTCACTATAATGACTTAGGTAAAAGCTGTAACAAAAAAATATATTACTTCAAAATCACAATTTTATAGAAAATTTATTTGTATAAATTTTTTTCCTTTAAAAGTAGAATCGTAAATAGTATTATGTAGTCATACAAAACATTCTTTTTAAAACATTGCATCTCATAATAATTTGATCAGCTTCAAATAAAAAATATCTTAAAGCGTTTTAATTAAAAAATATAATTGGATATTTCTTTCTTCGTAATATCAATATGTATAGTTATACTCAATATAGTAATAATTTAAACAAAAATTGTTGATAAATAAAAAGCATTGATAGTGTTTACACATACACACACACATCTAAATATAACAAATCTTTAAAACATCTAAATATTTATATGACGACAATTAAGATTATTTTGCGAATAATACGATTAATAAAACTAATTATCCACAGAAAATTCGTCGAAATCTTGACAGTGATGGCAGAAGATTGGAATGATTGCGCTAATAGTGACATTAGTATACGTGAGACAACACGCAAGGCGAAAATATCGGATCGTATTACAAATGCGATCATCACCCTTCATACGACGACAGTTGTTGCATATTGCATTGGTATCGTTTTGGCTGATGTTGATGTCACTGACTCTACGAAAGAACTACCTTTAGTCAATAAGGTAGAAATTCCTTTCAGTATAAACACACAATTTACATACAGAACCGTTTTAATCACGGAATTTTTACTTATGATCCTTTGCGGATGGGCGGCTGGTATAACAAACTCTTTATTATTAACATTGGTAAGTTAAAAATTCTTTATCGATGCAAACTGTATCTAATTAAAATGATAAATTTAAAACAACGCGTAAAAAATGCAAAAATTAGAATGACTTATAAAAAATGTTATTTGTAATTATTTTATAACAATATTATTTAATCAATGATTATGCGTTTACTTAGTTTATTATTTAAGAGAAAAAATAAGCAATGATAGATCTCACCTAAAGAATCAGTTCTCGTTAAGAAATTTGCATTCTTTGATACAAGAATTACATGTTCTTGTTCGGCCGGTTGTAAGACACGCAATCGATTGTTAAAGCATTGCGTATGACGTCTGGCAATACTAGCCTACATTTGCGCGCGCGCTGCCTTTACTTTTTTTTTTTTAACAGAAATGTAATCAAAGTCACGTGGTTCCTTAAAACTGTTGGAGAACAAATTCCTAAACAAAAATTGATTTTCTTTCGATAAGATCCTCTAAATTTGGTGTTAGAGATTCTGAAACATTCTGTAGATACTTTTTTTGTTTTGTACTAAGGTATTCTTATTTTCAAATTTGTATTTTTTATTTTGAGATCTTACATACCGCTGGCCAAATCGAGATTATGCGTCACTGGCTAATGCAGCTTGTGCCTCGTAGGAACGAGGACAAACATAAATCAATAACTGTGACTACGAGTAAAATTATTCAAAAACATCAAAAAATTATCAGTTTTTCAAGAAACATTGAAATACTTTATTCATATATTGCGTTGCTTCAGTTTGTGTCAAACACAATAATGATATGTTCGTTAGGTTTCGTTATTGTAACAGTGAGTAAATACTATTGAACACAACTATTGCAATGCTTCCAATAGTAATTTTAATTCTAATAATTTAATATTATTGAATATTAATTTATTTTTTATATTGCATATCATTATTTATATTGTATATTATACATTTAAATTGTCATTGTTATATTTAATTTGTATTTTATATTTTATATCATATTGTGTGTTGAGAGGTCTGTATTTTTAATAACTCGTATATTATTTTTATACAATTTTGCAGGCAATCGGCAGCCCCAACGCGCTAGAACAAATAATGAAATCAATTCTATTCTATACTATAACGAATCTCGAAGCGTTTATATTTTGTTATGCTGGAGAATATCTGAATAACAAGGTTAGTGACAAGATAATATTCACACAACGATAATAAAAGTAGATAATTATTTTTTTCTCGCAAAATATTGTGTAAAAGATACTATGAATATTAAAAATTCATCATTTTCAATTTCATAGAGTAAAGAAATTGGGCTCGCGGCGTACAACTGTGAATGGTACGATTTAAAATCTACAGAAAGTCGAATCCTGTTATTTATCATATTGAGGTCGCAAAAACAATTGACACTTACGGTAGGAAAGATGATGGATCTCTCTTTGCAAGCTTTTACAAGCGTAAGATTTATATGTAAATTTTTTATCTTTAAACATAAAAAATATACATGACAAAAGAAGTATATTATATGTGTATAAAGAATTATAACATAAGAATATTTATTCTAATTAAAGAAATAAATTTCTAAGACAAAAGTGATAATATTGTTTTAGATCATGAATGCTTCGGGTTCATATTTATCGATGCTGCTGGCGATGCAATAAACAAATCGACAACTTTTAAGTAACTATAGAAAATTCAAATTATTTGTAATTCACTAGTTATAAAAACACACATTGTAATATAACGTTTTTTTTTTTCAAATATATAGTACAAAATAATCGTAAAGCTTTTTATTTTTTTAAGTTATCGATATATCTACAGTTAAGAAATATCGTAAACACTATACTATGTAAAGAATGAAATTATTATTTGCTGAAATTCTAATAAGTAAAATAATGTAAATTTCCGTAGTGTCGCACTTTATAATTTTTATTCCTATCGATTCGTTCCCCTTTATAAATTTTAGAATTTTCTTGAAGGGTCATTGCTCACGATTGGTCATTAGGCATCATTGTTATATCTGCCTACGCATGAATCATTGCATATTTAAAACATACAATTCGTGGTATGCTACTAGTATTCAAAAGAGGGAAAAATTATACTAGAAGGTTTGTGGGTTATCGCCGTGTGTTTCTTCATTATTAATGCCAACGTTTCGTGAACTATGCCGTTTACTTCATCAGGGCGAGGGGTGCACTGATACTGAGAAAAAATATCCTTTTTTTTTCTTCTCGCGCAACGAAATTCACGAAAAACACAATATAAATATATTATACATACAGTAAACAATACTTGATAAATTTGTATAGATCTGTAAGTTTTATCTGTAAACATTTTATCTTGACACTAAAAAATATATTTTTTTATACTTATAGTACATAATAAATTTTGAATAAATAGTAAAATATATTTTATTTGATTATCTGTAAAATTATCATATTTATAATATATATACGTAATTTGTAATAATACGTCAGATATTATAACAACATATACATTCTTTTTGTATAAATACGAATATAGTTTTAATTTATTTAGGTTGTGATAAATTTTTTACACCTATTTGTACATCCGTGATTTAAAAACTTTATGTATTTGTAATATTACTATTATTTTGTTAAAACATGAATATTGCTAATAACACACAAATTCTCATATAAAGCTTTTAATTATTGCAAATAACATTTCGTTCACGTGGGAGCTCTCCTTCCTTTCAATTTTTAGTCTCTAGATTTTAAAATTTTCCTGAAGATTCACAGACTGACTGACTATAGACACATAATCAATTTATCTACCACCGCACGAGTCATTGCATATTTAAAGTGTAGACAATTTGCAGTTATATTATCGGTAGTATAGAGAAAGTAATTCTCTTTGTTTTTCTCGTATCTTGCAACAAATTTGAGAAAAAAGACTATAGCAGATACTTTTACGATCTGTGCACACAGTATGATAAAAATATTTAATAAATACAATTTATTGATCAGTTGCGCTGAGGGATATATCTATTAAATGATGTTTTAGACTTTTCTTTCTACCTCTCAGTCTCGGGTAGATATTCTGTGATGTATATAGTTTCCATAAAAATATAAACTATATTTCATTGAACAAAGATAGATACACATTTGATTGAAGCATATTTCTTTTGTCTTACCGGAATTTTTTATTTTGTTATCTGTCACATATTTCGACAAACTTATTCATACAGACAAGAGTAAGAAGAGTTATACGGAAAGAACGGTTTTAAAGTATGTACAAATTCAGCTTAATACACATCTGAAAATAAGTTTGTTGAACTGTCAGAATAATTATGTAGGATATGTTTAAGCTTATTGTCAGAATATCGAAGTTCCTTATAATATTGCTCATTATATTAAAGTTTCCTACATATTTATTTTAATGATCTAACAAAATCATTTTCAAATTTGTATATCTAACTAAATTTTTTAATATTTTTACTAAAAAATCGTTTTTTTTTCGTATAGAAAATTATGGATCGTCAGAATCCGCTTAATCGTACGGCAAAATTTTTACTCACTTTGAGCGGTGTTTGGCCGGGCGCATCATGTGCTCTATTTTCGAGAACATTATTCATCGTTTCAGTGATAATTATTCAGTACTGTCACTACCGTTATTTTATGATACATATGCATTCTGCCACACTTTGGGAATACATGGACATGCTGCCTGTTGTTATAGCACATTCCAAAATGCTTTTTAAGTGCCTTGTGTTTTGGTTGAATCAACGGTAAGTAATATGTATATATGCAAAATTAAAAAAAAATTTTTTAAGTATTCGATCATATTTTGACTGATTGGAATACGTGAAAGGTTGGTTTACATATATTACGTTCAGGAATAATATCTAAAACATGGTCACAGCACAAAAACTAAGATTGCTTTAAGATCGACAATATGATCGGCGAACACCACCATTCATAGAAAATTCATCGAAGTCTTGACAATAATGCGAGAGGATTGGAGTGATTGCGCTAATAACGATATCAGTTTGCGTAAGACAGCAAGCAAAGCGAAAACGTCGGAACGTATTACAAATTTAATACTCATTCTTCATACAATGACAGTTTCTGGCCATGGCATCGGTGTCATCCTGGCGAATACCGACGTCACCGATAACGCGACCACGGAGTTACGCTTCTTCACTCAGATAGAAGTTCCTTTTGACATAAATACGCAACGCACATATAGATGTATTTTAATAATAGAATTCTTTTTTTTGATGATGTGGTCCTGGTCATCTGGTGCAATGAATTCTTTATTAATAATTCTAGTAAGTTGTGATTGTACAAATAATATTCAAGGTCGAAAAATATAATTTAAATAATATTTTATAATTTCATTTATAACTATATTATATGCTACTTAAAAGCGATGCACATGATAGATACAAAAATTAAAATAAATTATATGATCTAAATTACTATACCTATCTCCGTGAATTTTGATAATATTATTCTGTACAATATCCATCCTTGCAATTTGAGCAACTACACGGAGAGAAGGATTTCTTAAAATTTACCCTGAAAATATAGTAATTATGGTACAATACAATAAATTTAAAGATTTTTACCATGCACTTCAGTAAAATTTATCATACTTATTTTATATTTTATTGTGGTTTTATTAATGAATGTGAAAGATTTACATCAAAATTCTTCAAAATATAATATTGTCCCACGATTACCATATTTTCAGGGTAAATTTTAAGATGTAATTCTTTCCGTGTAGTTACGGATTGTAATTAATTCCATAGACAATGAGATCTTTATTTTCAGACCTTTCATACAGCTGGCCAAATCGATATTGTGCGTTACTGGTTAACGCATCTTGTATGTTCTAAAGATGAAAGCAAAGATGAATCGGTCACCATGGCAACGACTAAAATTATTTATAAGCATAAGAAGATTATTCGTTTATCGGAATATATCGAAAGTCTGTTTACGTACATTGCGTTGGTGCTATTTGTGTCAAACTCAATAATGATTTGTTTGCTAGCTTTTCTTGTCGTAACGGTAAGATTATTAAATATGAACTCATAGTATTTCTTAATATATAAGTGCAAATAATACAATATAAAATACTAACTAATCAATTAATAAATATATTTAAATTTACTTTACATATTTAAATTATATCTTTATTAATTATATTTATTTTTTATTAAGTAACATATGTTATTACATACCTAATAATATATTTGTATGTTACTAGTAATACTAGTACAATTTATATTAGTTTGCATTTAACAATTTTCCTCACGTCATTGTTGTACAATCACAGGCAATCGGCAGCTCTAACGCGTCAGAGCAATTAGTAAAATCTTTTTTATTCTATTTCATAACGAACCTCGAAGCATATATGTTTTGTTATGCTGGAGAACATCTGAAAAACAAGGTCAGCATTAAAATTTATTAAAAAATATTAATATATATTATAAATGTTAATAAATAACTACAAATATACTGTATATGATTAAAAAAGCTGTTAGAAAAGGTTTAACAAAATATTAAAAATTTGACTATTATTTCTATCTTAATAGAGTAAAGAAATTGGTTTTGCGGCATACAGCTCTACATGGTACAATATGAAATATAAAGACAGTCGCGTCCTACTATTTATTATACTAAGATCACAAAAGCCACTAACGCTTACAGCTGGAAAGATGATAGACCTATCTTTACAATCTTTTACAAGTGTAAGATATATACATCGAAATTGCTTCTTTACGATAAAAAGTATTCTTTAATATTATTAAAAATAAATTTGAATTTTCTAATACAAAAATACAATATTTTTTTAGATCATGAATGCTTCAGGATCATATCTATCGGTATTATTAGCAATGCAATAAACTAGCGTCGGATTTTCTTTAACAAAAAAAAGTCTTATGACAACAGAAGTATTATAACAATACATTAAACAGGTCATTTTAACATCAAGATAATGACAAATAATGTTAACTTAATAACTTGAGAATTATTTAAACATTAGCAATGCTAGGAATTCACAATGTAATATAGTATATTTCTCCAAATATAAATTTAGTACAATAAAACTAATTCGCATCTTTTTTTAAATTATAATATGTCATAATGAAATCAGATTTTACGTAAGTATTACAAATATCAAATATTTATTCATTGTATTACAATATAAGTACAAAATGATAAATTTCATTATCCTCTGAGAAAAAATCTTATTTTGCACGTTAAGTATATAGTAACAACAAACACATACATTAATAAACTTTTTGATAGAAATTAATCTTTGTACAACAATATTTCATAAAATATATAGGGAAAAATAATTATAACTATATGTTACTTTATAGGAGAGAATATGAAAAAGCCTTTCCCTTTAAATACGAAGAGAAAACAAATTTAATCTGTTAAACAAATATAATCACTTTCTTGATTAAGTATACTAAAAATCAGAATAATTATTTATGTTTAAAAAATTGGCATTGGCTGCATGACGTTACCTTCACGAACTAACGCGATACAATACTAAGCAATAAATCAATACAACGCCATACGCATAGGCACTGCCATTAGTTGTTTCTTATGAAATATTATCGTCAATTTACTAGTCAGTAAACGATTTCCAGAAAATTTAATGCCATGATGCACAAAAATAAACTATATACTCTCGTAGAACGGACGATACGTGTATCTCTTCACATGAATCTCTCATCACATATTTAACGTACGAACTTAATAGCTGCAACAGCTGCATTGTGAGTATCACGGGCGGGAAAAGAACATCTCACATATCTTCATTTTTTTCCATACAGTTTCAAGGGAATACGACGAATGTATTTAAGGCTTGCACGTACAATAAAAATATTTCATGAGCAATTTTCATTGATCGATTTGCTAGTGGTGAGTCTGCTCGAACACCTCTAACAACACATCAGTCCTTATGCAAGGTGTCCAATGATACACATTGTCCAATAGTTGAGAGATACAATATTAAATTCTTTAACTTTTTTAAAAATTCTCCTTTAATAATTCTTACTCTGTTAAATATTCTCTAATGCGTTTGCCTGAACAAACTTAGCGCACAGAGAAATAAAGCGTTATGACTCGTAAGAGCACGATTAATCGTAAAGTGTTTCTTCTGCTTCCTTGGTGTGGCATTAGTTCAGACGGAATAATTAAGCTAACAGCCAGATTATTTTGGATTTTTACGTTAGGATTTACACAATATTGTCATTGGCTATATATTTCGACGCATTTAAATGGGCAGAACTTTTTTAACTTGGTAGATTGCTTATGCAGTTTCATAGCATTCGCGAAAGTAATCGTTAAACTTGTTGCGTTTTGGTTGAACCAACAGTAAGTGTATATGAGAGAGTGTGTAATTTTATTTAAATAAAACATTTTTTAATGTTATTTAATCATTGACATATTTACGTATTATTCAAGATATAAATTATCATTAAAATCAAAAGTCATAGTATTGCGCGCACGAATTAATAAGTTACATAGTCTTTTCTATTATTGCCTATAAGCGCACATATAATTTGTTATTATTACTTGTTTCTGGAAAAAAAACATAAAAATTACTGAAATACGCAAGAAAAAATTTAACTCAAAAGAACAAAGACGTCAATATTGTTTTGCGCGCGAGTCGAAAATGATATATTTCTGAAGATACGGTTTACTTCGCGAGATGAATGGGATTCTTATTTGAATTCGACTGCATGATCGAATAATCGTCCACAGAAAATTCGTGGAGACTATGATGTTAATCACAGACGACTGGAATGACTGCGCTGAGAATGATATTGACATGCGCGTGATGACAGACAAGGCAAAGATATCAGATCGTATCACTAATATGATTTTCATCCTTCACACGGTGACTAATACTGCATATGCCCTCGGAACTGTTATCGCTGATGTCGATATTACAGACAAAATCGAGCTGCCGCTTATCAACAAATTAGAGCTTCCCTTCAGTGTTAATACGCAACGAACGTATAGATTAGTGTTAATCATAGAATTTATACACATGATTTTTACAAATTGGGTGTCTGGAGTTATAAACATCATATTTTTGGCTATGGTGAGTTGTAATAATGTAAGAAGTTTTAACTTAAAATTTATATAATAATAATAATGATTATTTGAAATTTAGTGTTGTTACTTTCGTTAAATAATATATATATATTAATATTCTCTTCGTTAATTTCAAAATCATTATTCTGCAAGCTTAAAGAAGTTTCATAGAATAGGTTATCTGTATAAGAGATTTTAATAAATATATTATCGAAAATTATACTTATAAGAAATTATACTTATATATTTATGATATTTTTATTCTTTTTGTAAATTAATTATTAAGAGTTTAATTAATTTACATGTGTAGCTAAAATTAAGACAATTAAAAATTGAATCTTCTCTTTCAGGTTATACATACAGGTGGTCAAATGGATGTTCTGCAACGTTTCTTGGCAGAATTTACTCCCAATGAAATTGAAAATAAGAAAAAATCTGTCGTTATCACAGCAAATAAGATTATTTTGAAACATCAAAAAATCATTCAATTTTCTCAAATTATCGAAAGCATATATACCTACATTGCGTTATTTATAGTTGCATCAAACACAATACTAATGTGCACTCTAGGTTTTCTTATTGTAACTGTAAGCACAATAATCACACTGCGAGAGAGGAAGAGAAATTGCTATATTCTGAAAAAATAAAATTTGCAATTGATCGACCCTTAACTAATGCATAAAGACAAATTTTCTTTATTTTTTCAGGCTATTGGTAGTGCTGATTTTGTGGAGCAAATGACGAAATGTGTTTTATTTTTCATAATAACAAACATGGAGGCATTCATATTTTGTTACGGCGGAGAATATTTAAATAGTAAGGTCAGTAATGAGAAGTAATTACTGCAATAAAGATCGAAATTATTAATGATAGCATAAATATATACTTATAATTTATATACATATTTATAAAACATGCCATAGAGTTATAAAATATACATATATATATTGTTTTTTAAAACATGGCATACAGTAAATACTTTTATATTAGTTACATTATAATGTAGTAAAAAAAAGTAATATTATATAGAGCCTCTTTTACTTTTGTAGAGCAAAGAGATCGGATTTGCAACGTACAATTGTGCATGGTACAATTTGAAATCTAAGCACAGTCGCATTTTGTTACTCGTAATATTACGGTCACAGGAACAATTAACGTTAACAGCTGGCAAGATAATGGATCTCACATTACAATCTTTTACAAGTGTAAGATTTAAAAATAATAAAAATTTTTGATAGTTAACTCTGTTCCTAGAAAAAAACATATATGTATTACTCACTAGATAATATTATTTTTTATCACTGAACCTTTTTATAATAGAAATATTTTCTATATTTGTTATATCAATATATGTTTAAATATCAATTCCCCTAATACAAACAAAACTGTTATAGATTATGAATTCTTCGGGATCATACCTATCGGTATTATTAGCAATGCAATAAATTAGCGTCGTCTTATTTTTATTAAGAAGGTGTTATGATAACGAAAGTGTTATGACAAGTCAGAGATCATTTAGCATCAAGACAACATAATGACAAAAAATATTATCTTACTACCTTGGGAATTATTTATATATTAGCAATTCTAGGAATTCTCAAATTGTAATACAGTATATTTCTCCAAATATAAATTTAGTATAATTATATAATTTGCATCCTTTTTTAAATAATAATATGTCATAATGAAAACAGATTTTACGTAAGTACTACAAAATCAAAAATTTATTTATTGTACAACATAGGGACAAAATGATAAAATATTTAATTATTCTTTACGAAACAATCTTATTTTGTACGTTAAGTATATAGTAACAACAAACACATACATTACTAAATTTTTTTAATAGAAATTAATCTATGTATTATACAAAAATATTTCATAAAATATATAAGGAAAAATAATTAGAATTATATGTAATTTTATAGGAGAGAATTGGCATGAAAAACCCTTTTTCTTTAAATACGAAAACAAATTTAATATGATATTAAACAAATATAATCACTTAATCGACTAAGTATAATAAAACTCAGAATAATTATTTATGTTTAAAAAAATTGGCATTTGCCGCGTGACGCTACCATCACGAACTAATGCGATACAATACTAAGCAATAAATCAATACATTGTCAACTTATAGGCACTGCCATTAGTTGTTTCTTATGAAATATTATCGTCAATTTACTAGTCAGTAAACGATTTCCAGAAAATGTAATGTCATGTGTTGAACAAAAATTAACTATATACTCTCGTAGAACGGACGATACGCGTATTTCTTCAAATGAATCTCTCATTACATATTTAACGTACGAACTTAATAGCTGCAACAGCTGCATTGTGAGTATCACGGGCGGGAAAAGAACATCTCACATATCTTCATTTTTTTCCATACAGTTTCAAGGGAATACGACGAATGTATTTAAGGCTTGCACATACAATAAAAATATTTCCTGAGTAATTTTCAATGATCGATTTAATAGTCGTGAGTCTGCTTGAACACCTCCCACAACACATCAGTCCTTATGCAGGGTGTCCAATGATACGCATTGGCCTACAGTTGGGAGATACAGTATTAAATTCTTTAATTCTTTTAAAAATTCTCCCTGAACAATTCTAACTCTATTAAATATTCTCTTATGCGTTTGCTTCAACAAACCGTGCGGACAGAGAAATAAAGCATTATGACTCGTAAAAGCACGATTAATCGTACAGTGTTTCTTATGCTTCCTTGGTGTGGCATCAGTTCAGACAGAATAATTAAATTAACAGCCAGATTATTTTGGATTCTTACATTAGGATTTATTGAATTTTGTCATTGCCTTTACTTTTCGACGCATTTAAATACGCAGAACTTTTTTAACTTGATAGATTGCTTATGCAGTTTCATAGCTTACGCGAAACTTATCACTAAACTCGTTGTGTTTTGGTTGAACCAACAGTAAGTGTATATGAGAGTGTGTAACGTTATTTAAATAAAACATTTTTTATTGTTATTTATAATTTAATTATTGACATATATACGTATTAATCAAGATATAAATTGTTATTAAAATGAAAAGTCATAATATTGCGCGCATGCACTAAAAAGTTACATAGTCTTTTATATAATTGCCTATAAGCGCGCATATAATTTGTTATTATTACTTGTTTCTGAAAAAAAAACAAAAATTAGTGTAATGTGTAAGAAAAAAATTTCTTTTAAAAGAACAGTGATGTCAATATTGTTTTGGGCGCGATTCGAAGATGATATATTTTTGAAGATACGGTTCATTTAGCTAAATGAATGGGACTCATTTAAATTCGACAGCTTGATCGAATAATCGTCCACAGAAAATTCATGGAGACTATGATGTTAATCACGGACGACTGGAATGATTGCGCTGAGAATGATATTGGCCTGCGCGTGATGACAGACAAGGCAAAGATATCAGATCGTATCGCTAATATGATTTTCATCCTTCGAACGGCGACGATTACTGCATATTGCCTCAGAAATGTTATCACTGATGTCGATATTACAGATAAAATCGAGCTGCCGCTTAGCACCAAAATAGAGCTTCCTTTCAGTATTAGTACGCAACGAATGTATAGATTAGTGTTAATCACAGAATTTATACACGCGATTTTTGCAAGTTGGGTACAATGTGTTATAAATATCATATTTTTGGCTATGGTAAGTTGTAACTATGTAAGAAGTTATAACTTAAAATTTATAGAAATACTAATGATTATTCGAAATTCCGTGTTGTTACTTACGTTAAATAATATATCTATATTAATATTTTCTTCTTTAATTTCAAAATCATTATTCTGCAAAGTTAAAGAAGTTTCATGGAATATGTTATCTGTATAAGAGATTTTATTAAATATATATTTTCACAAAAATTATATATATATATTTATTATTTTATTCTTTTGAATAAACTATTGAGATTTTAATTAATTTGCATGTGTAGATAAATTATTTTAATTAAGAATTGAATCTCCTCTTTCAGATTTTACATGTAGGTGGTCAAATGGACATTCTGCAACATTGGTTGGCAGAATTTATTTCCAAAAAACATGAAATTAAGCAAAAATCTGTCGTTATCACAACTAGCAAGATTATTTTAAAACATCAAAAAATTATTCAATTTTCAGAAAATATCGAAAGCATATTCACGTACATAGCGTTATTCATATTTGCATCAAACACATTACTGATGTGCTGTCTAGGTTTTCTTATTATAACCGTAAGCACCATAATCACACTGCGAAAGAAGAAGAGAAACTGCTATATTTTGTAAAAAAATACATTTTGATTATTCTCAAACCATAAATAATGCATAAAGCTATTTTCTTAATTTTCTCAGGCTATAAGTACTGCTGATATCGGGGTGCAAATGACGAAATGTTTTTTATTTTTCACATTAGTAAACCTGGAGGCATTCATATTTTGTTACGCTGGAGAATATTTGAATAGTAAGGTCAGTGATGAGAAGTAATTACTGTAATAAAGACGGAAATTATTAATGATAGCATGAATGCTTATAACTTTATATAGGTTTCACTTTTTATTTTAGTAGAAATTAATTAATAGTAATTAAAACAAGGTAAAGGACAATGAGAGTCAATTCGTAAGTAAACAACAAAGCGATTATAACATTAAATCTATAATATGAATTTTTAAAAGAAAAATAATAATACAATGAAATACTTAGCCGCAAAAATTAGAATATCCGTCAATATGTAACAATATACAAAATCGCTCGATATAAAATTTCGTGACAAGTTTCGACTCTTGGTTTGAGTCCTTTTCAGACGTACAATAAAAATTCTTCATTTCAGCATTAAGACACAACCCTTACTGACTCCTCGATTACTTTCTTCGTTACACACCATATAGGATGACAAAATCGTATATTGAAACAATGTATCTGTAACAACGAAAACGAATTGTCAGTTTACTTATATTGTAAATGCTGAAATGAAGAATTTTTATTGTACGTCTGAAGAGGACTCAAACCAAGAGTCGAAACTTGTCACGAAATTTTATATCGAGCGATTTTGTATATTGTTACATATTGACGGATATTCTAATTTTTGCGGCTAAGTATTTCATTGTATTATTATTTTTCTTTTAAAAATTCATATTATAGATTTAATGTTATAATCGCTTTGTTGTTTACTTACGAATTGACTCTCATTGTCCTTTACCTTGTTTTAATTATTATTTTCATATAAAGAGTCCTTCAACTTTAATTTTATTTGTTAATTAATAGTGCTACATGGATTTCTAAAACTAGAATTCAACTTGGTATAACCAACTCAAAACCAGAAGTTCAAACAAAAATTAGAATAAAGATAATACCATATAAGTTTTACTTTTTCTTTACACATATCTACAAAACATGGCATAGGTTATAAAATATACATATATACATATTTATAAAATATGGTATATAGTAAATGCTTTTATAGTAGTTATATTATAATGTAATAAAAAAATAATATTATAAAGTCTCTTTTACTTTCGTAGAGCAAAGATATCGGATTTGCAACGTACAATTGTGCATGGTACAATTTGAAATCTAAACACAGTCGCATTTTGTTACTGGTAATATTACGATCACAGGAACAATTAAAGCTAACAGCTGGCAAGATAATGGATCTCAAATTAGAAACTTTCACAAGTGTAAGATTTAAAAGAATAGATATTTTTGATAGTTAACTCTGTCCCTAGAAAACAATTCAATGTACTATTTACTAGATAATATTCTTTATTATCAGTGCATATTTTTATTATAGAAATATTCTTTATTTGTTGTAGCAATATTCTGTTTAAATATCAATTCCTAATACAAAACAACACTGTTATAGATTATGAATGCGTCGGGATCATACCTATCGGTATTATTAGCAATGCAATGAGCAGGATCGACTTTTTTTCATTAAGAGTATTTTGACAACAAAAGTGATATAACAAAACATTGTAGACATCATTTTAACATCGGGATAATAACAAATAATGTTAGCTTTAGGAATTACATATACGTTAGCAATTTACATTAGGAATTTACATTGTAGAAAAGTATATTTCTCCAAATATAAATTTAATACAATAAACTAATATGCATCTATTTTTAAATCACAATGAAAACATCAAATCATAATGAAAACAGATTTTACGTAAGTATTACAAATAAAAAAATTTATTTATTGTCCAATATAGGGACAAAATGAATGATATTTCATTACCTCTGTGAAAAGATCTTATTTTGCACTTAAGTATATAGTAATGATAAACACATACATTAATAAATTTTTATGATAGAAATTAATCTGTATTATATTTAGAAAATATATTTCATATAATATCTAGAGTAAAATAATTATAACTATATATGTAACTTTTAGGAGCGAATAGGCATGAAAAAGGCTATTCCTTTAAATACGAAAAAAATTTAATCTGGTATTAAACAAATATAATCACTTTCACGATTAAGTATAATAAAAGTCAGAATGATTATTTATGTTTCAAAAATTAGCATTGGCCGCGTGACGTTGACATCACGAACTAACGCGATACAATACTAAGCAATAAATCAATACAACGCCAATGCATAGGCACTGCCATTAGTTGTTTCTTATGAAATATTATCGTCAATTTACTAGTCAGTAGACGATTTCCAGAAAATGTAATGCCATGATGCGCAAAAATTAACTATATATTCTCGTAGAACGGACGATACGCATATCTCTTCACATGAATCTCTCATTACATATTTAATGTACGAACTTAATAGCTGCAACAGCTGCATTGTGAGTATCACAGGACGGCAAAGAACATCTCACATATCTTCATTTTTTTTCATAAAGTTTCAAGAGAATACGACGAATGTATTTAAGGCTTGCACGTACAATAAAAATATTTCATGAGCAATTTTCATTGATCGATTTGCTAGTGGTGAGTCTGCTCGAACACCTCTAACAACACATCAGTCCTTATGCAAGGTGTCCAATGATACACATTGTCCAATAGTTGGGAGATTCAGTATTAAATTCTTTAACTTTTAAAAAATTCTCCTTTAATAATTCTTACTGTATTAAATATTCTCTAATGCGTTTGCCTGAACAAACCTAGCGCTCAGAGAAATAAAGCGTTATGACTCGTAAGAGCACGATTAATCGTAAAGTGTTTCTTATGCTTCCTTGGTGTGGTATTGGTTCAGACAGAATAATTATCATAATAGCCAGATTATTTTGGATTTTTATATTAGGATTCATTGGATTTTGTCATTGCCTTTATTTTTCGACGCATTTAAATGCACAGAACTTTTTTAACTTGGTAGATTGCTTATGCAGTTTCATAGCTTACGCGAAACTTATCACAAAACTCGTTGTGTTTTGGTTGAACCAACAGTAAGTATATATAAGAGTGCGTAATGTTATTTAAATAAAACATTTTTTATTGTTATTTATAATTTAATTATTGACATATATACATATTAATCAAGATATAAATTTTTATTATAATCAAAAGTCATAGTATTGCGCGCATGCACTAAAAAGTTACATAGCCTTTTGTATAATTACCTATAAGCGCGCATATAATTTGTTATTATTACCTGTTTCTGGAAAAAAACAAAAATTATTGTAATATGTAAGAAAAAAATTTCGTTCAAAAGAACAGAGATGTCAATACTGTTTTGCGCGCGATTCGAAGATGATATATTTCTAAACATACGGTTCACTTGGCGAGATGAATGGGACTCTTATATGAATTCGACAGCATGATCGAATAATCGTCCGCAGAAAATTCGTGGAGACTATGATGTTAATCACGGACGACTGGAATGATTGCGCTGAGAATGATATCGACATGCGCGTGATGACAGACAAGGCAAAGATATCAGATCGTATCACTAATATGAGTTTCATCCTTCACACGGCGACTATTGCTGCATATTCCTTCGGAACTCTTATCGCTGATATCGATATTACAGATAAAATCGAGTTGCCGCATATCAACAAATTAGAGCTTCCCTTCAGTGTTAATACGCAACGAATGTATAGATTAGTGTTAATCACAGAATTGATATTCATGATTTTTGCAAATTGTGTGTCTGGTGTCATAAATATTATATTTTTTGCTATGGTAAGTTGTAACTGTGTAAGAAGTTAAAACTTAAAATTTATAGAAATAATAATGATCATTATTTGAAATATAGTGTTGTTACTTTCGTTGAATAATGTATCCATACTAATATTCTATACTTTAATTTCAAAATTATTATTCTGCAAGGTAAAAGATGTTTCAAGGAATATGTTATCTGTATATGATATTTTATTAAATAATTTTCGAAAATTATATTTATATTATGTGTACAAATTAGTTCGATCCGTTTTTTGTGTTCAAAGATGCATTTATTTCAAAACAATATGAAAAAACAGATTAATTAAAGTATTCTCCATCGCTGGCTACTACTTTTTCCCAATTCTCAGGAAATTTTCGAATTCCATCTCGAAAAAATGACTCGTCTTTGGAGGCGATCATCATTTGGAAAACGAACCGAAATAATTTGTTCTTCCAAAAAATTTATGATATTTTTATTCTTTTGTGTAAAGTATTAATTAATTTACATGTGTAGCTAAAATTAGTTTAATTAAAAATTGTACCTTTTCTTTCAGATTATACATGTAGGTGGTCAAATGGATGTTCTTCAACGTTTGTTGGCAGAATTTATTCCCAAAGGAATTGAAAATAAGCAAAAATCAGTCGTTATATCACCAAACAAGATTATTTTAAAACATCAAAAAATTATTCAATTTTCAGAATGTATCGAGAGCTTGTATACCTACATTGCATTATTGATATTCGCGTCAAACACAATACTGATGTGCTCTCTAGGTTTTCTTATTGTAACAGTAAGCATAATAATTATACTGCGAGAGGGGAAGAAAAATTGTTATATCTTCTGTAAAAATAAATTATATGTATTCGAACATTAAATAATGCCTAATGCTATTTTCTTTATTTTCTCAGGCTATTGGTACTGCAGATATCGTGGAACAATTGTCGAAATGTGTGTTATTTTTCACATTAACAAACCTGGAGGCATTCATATTTTGTTACGGCGGAGAATATTTAAATAGTAAGGTCAGTGATGAGAAGTAATTACTGCAATAAAGACCGAAATTATTAATAATAGTAGAAATACTCACATTTTATATACATATCTATAAAACATGGCATAAAGTAAATACTTTTATAGTGGACATGTTATAAAGTAATGAACAAAGTAATATTATATAGTCTTTTTTACTGTCGTAGAGCAATGAGATCGGATTTGCAACGTACAATTGTGCATGGTACAATTTGAAATCTAAACACAGTCGCATTTTGTTACTAGTAATATTACGATCACAGAAATGTTTAACTCTAACAGCTGGCAAGATAATGGATCTCACATTAGAATCTTTTACAAGTGTAAGTTTTAAAAAGAATAAAAATTTTTCATAGTTAACTCTGTTCCTAGAAAAGAATATAGATGTACTATTTACTAGATAATATTCCTTTTTATCAAAATGCACCTTTTTATTATAGAAATATTCTCTATTTGTTGTAACAATATTCTGTTTAAATATCAATTCCTAATACAAACAACACTGTTATAGATTATGAATGCTTCGGGATCATACTTATCGGTATTATTAGCAATGCAATAAATTAGTGTCAATTATTTTTTATTCAAAAAGTTTTATGATAAGGAAAGTGTTATGAGAAGACAGAGCATCATTTAGCATCATGACAACATAATGGCAGAAAACATTATATATATATATATATATATATATATATTATATCACTTTGGAAATTATTAGTATATTACCAATTCTAGAAATTCACATTGTAATATGGTACATTTCTTCAAATATAAATTTAGTAGAATAAACTAATTCGTACCTTTTTATTTATATCACATCATATATAATAATATCAGGTTTTCATGTAAGTATTATAAATATCAAAAATTTATTCGTTGTACAATATAGCAACAAAATGATAAAATATTTCATTTTTCTCTGGGAGCCTTATTTTGCACGTTAAGTATATAGTAAAATAATAAACACATACATTAATAACTTTTTTTATAAAAATTAATCTATTTTATACAAGAATATATTACATATAATATATAAAGGAAAACAATTAGAATTATACGTAACATTATACAAGATTAGATTGATTATTTATGTTTTAAGAATCCTTATTTGTGCCGCGTGACGTTACAACCATGAGTTATTGCGAAACAATACTACGCAATAAAATCAATAGTTACATCGCTAACGCATGTCATTAATTGTTTCTTATAAAATATTATCGTCAATTTACTAGCCAGTAGACGGTTTCGAGGAAATGAAATGCACAAAAATTAAATATATACTCTCGTAGAACGGACGATACGTATCTCTTCACATGAATCATTACATATTTAACGTATGAACTTAATAGATGCAACAGCTGCATTGTGAGTATCACGGGCGGGAAAAGAACACCTCACATATCTTCGTTTTTTCCCATACAGTTTCAAGGGAATACGACGAATGTATTTAAGGCTTGCACATACAATAAAAATATTTCATGAGCAATTTTCATTGATCGATTTGCTAGTGGTGAGTCGGCTTAAACACCTCCCACAACTCATCAGCCTTTACGTAAGGTGTCCAATAATATCATATATATCGTCCTATCGTTGGAAGTTACATTTCTAAATTCTTTAACTTTCTTGAAAATTCTCTCTTAACAATTCTTTTTCTACTAAATATTCTCTAATACGTTTGCTTCAACAAATCGAGTGCACAGAGAAATAAAGCGTTATGATTCGTAAGACCACGGTTAACCGTACAGTGTTCCTTATGCTTCCTTGGTGTGGCATCAGTTCAGACGGAATAATTAAGTTAACAGCCAGATTATTTTGGATTTTTACGTTAGGATTTATAGGTTATTGTCATTGCCTTTATTTTGCGACGCATTTAAATGGGCAGAACTTCATTAACTTGGTAGATTGCTTATGCAGCTTTATAGCATTCGCGAAAGTAATCGTTAAACTCGTTGCGTTTTGGTTGAACCAACAGTAAGTGTATATGGAAGTGTGTAATGTTATTTAATTAAAATATTTTTTATTGTTACTTATAATTTAATTATTGACATATATATGTATTAATCAAGATTATTATTAAAATTATTATTATTAAATTATTATTAAAATCAAAAGTCGTAGTATTGCGCGCATGTACTAAAAAGTTACAAAGTCTTTTGTATAATTGCCTACAAGCGCTCGTCAAATTTGTTATTATTACTTGTTCCTGAAAAAAAGCAAAAATTACTGTAATATGTAAGAAAATAGTTTCGTTCAAAAAAACAGAGATGTCAATATTATTTTGCGCGCGATACGAGAATTATATATTTCTGAAGATACGGTTCACTTGGCGAGATGAATGGGACTCTTATATGAATTCGACAGCATGATCGAATAATCGTCCCCAGAAAATTCGTGGAGACTATGACGTTAATCACGGACGACTGGAATAATTGCGCTGAGAATGACATCGGCCTGCGCGTGATGACAGACAAGGCAAAGATATCAGATGGTATCACTAATATGATTTTCATCCTTTACACGTTGGATATTGCTGCATATTCTTTTGGAACTGTTATTGCTGATATCGATATTACACATAAAGTCGAGCTGCCGCATATCAACAAATTAGAACTTCCCTTCAGTGTTAATACGCAACGAATGTATAGATTAGTGTTAATCACAGAATTTATCCACTTGATTTTCGCAACTTGGATACATTGTGTTATAAATATCATATTTTTGGCTATGGTAAGTTGTAACTGTGTAAGAAGTTAAAACTTAAAATTTATAGAAATAATAATGATTATTTGAAATTTAGTGTTGTTACTTTCGTTGAATAATATATCTATACTAATATTCTACACTTTGATTTCAAAATCATTATTCTGCAAGATCAAAGATGCTTCGTAGAATATGTTATCCGTATAATATATTTTATTAAATATATTTTCTAAAATTACATTAATACAATGAACTCATTTTTATTCCTTTTTGTAAACTATTGAGAGTTGAATTAATTTACATGTTTAGCTAAAATTAATTTAATTAAAAAATGGACTATTTCTTTCACAGATTATACATGTAGGTGGTCAAATGGAGGTTCTGCAACATTGGTTGGAAGAATTTATTCCAAAAAAAAATGAAATTAAGCAAAAATCTGTCGTTATCACAGCAAGCAAGATTATTTTTAAACATCAAAAAATTATTCAATTTTCGCAAAATGTCGAAAGCATATATACATACATTGCGTTATTCATATTTGCATCAAACACAATACTGATGTGCTGTCTAGGTTTTCTTGTTGTAACTGTAAGTACAATAATCACACTGCGAAAGGGGAAGAGAAATTGTTATATTTCCTAAAAATACATTTTGATTACTCTCGAACATTAAATATATAATACATAAAACTATTTTTTTTATTTCCTCAGGCTATTGGTACTGCTGATTTTGTGGAGCAACTGACTAAATGTATTTTATTTTTCACATCAACAAACCTGGAGGCATTCATATTTTGTTACGGCGGAGAATATTTAAATAGCAAGGTCAGTGATGAGAAGTAATTACTGCAATAAAGACCGAAATTATTAATAATAGTAGAAATACTCACATTTTATATACATATCTGTAAAATATATGACATAAAGTAAATACTTTTATAGTAGTTATATTATAATTTAATGAACAAAGTAATTTTATATAGTTTCTTTTACTTTCGTAGAGCAATGAAATCGGATTTGCAACGTACAATTGTGCATGGTACAATTTGAAATCTAAACATAGTCGCATTTTGATACTAGTTCTATTACGGTCACAGAAACGTTTAACGCTAACAGCTGGCAAGATAATGGATCTCACATTAGAAACTTTTACAAGTGTAAGATTTAAAAAGAATAAAAATTTTTGATAGTTTTTTAACACTGTTCCTAGAAAACAACGTATATGTATTACTCACTACATAATATTATTTTTTATCACTGCTCCTTTATGTTATAGAAATATTCTCTATTTTTTATAGCAATTTTCTGTTTAAATATCAATTCCTAATACAAACAATACTGTTATAGATTATGAATGCTTCGGGATCGTACCTATCGGTATTATTAGCATTGCAATAAATTAGTGTCGTCTGTTTATAAAAAGAGTGCTATGGTAACGAAAGTGTTATGACAAAACAGAGGTCATTTAGCATCAAGACAACATAATGACAAAAAATGTTAGCTTACCACCTTGGGAATTATTTATATATTAGTAATTCTAGTAATTCACATTGTAATGTAGTACATTTCTTCAAATATAAATTTAGTAGAATAAACTAATTTGTATCTTTTTATTTATGTCACATCATCATAATATCAGGTTTTAAGTAAGTATTTCAAAGATCATGAATTTATTTATTGTGCAATTTAGGGACAAAATGATGAATTATTTTCATCTTTCTCTACAATAATATCGTATTTTGCATACTAAGTATACAGTGAAGATATGCACACATTTTAATAAAAAGTTATCGAGAAAAATTTATCTATATCATACAAAAAGTACTTCATACAATATAAAGGAAAAAATAATTATAATTATATGTATCTTTATACAATGCCTGAGTGATTATTATACCTATGCTGTAAGAATCAACATTTGCTGCATGAGGTTACCGTCACGAATTAACGCGATACAATACTAAGCAATAAAATCAATAGTTACTTCACCAACGCATAGGCATTGCCATAAGTTGTTTAGGAAATATTATCTTCCCTTTACTAGCGAGTAGAGAATTTCCAGGAAATGTAATGCTCTGTTGCACAAAAATTAACGACATTTTCTAGTAGGACGGACGATACGTGTATCTCTTCACATGTATCATTATATATTTAACATACACACTACCTAACAGCAACAGTTACATTTTCAGTACGAGAGAGGTGGGCGAAAACATCTTATTTATCCTCATTTTTTTCCATAAAGTTTCAAGGAAACATGACTGCTGTATTTGAGGCTTGTACTTATATTAAAAATATTTTATGAGCAACTTTTATTTGTCGATATTCTAACGGTGAACTTGCTTATACGCCTTCAACATCCCATCAGTCTTTATGCAGGGTGTCCTATGATATACATTGCCCTATCATTGGGAGATACATTTCTAATTTTTTAACGTTTTAAAAAATTTTCCCTTAACAATTCTTATACTCTATTAAATATTCTCTAATGCGTTTGTTTGAACAAACGGAGTGCACAGAGAAATAAGCGTTATGACTCGTAAGAGCACGATTAACCGTATAGTGTTTCTTATGCTTCCTTGGTGTGGTATCGGTTCAGACAAAATAATTATTTTAATAGCCAGATTATTTTGGACTCTTACATTAGGATTTGTTGGATTTTGTCATTGCCTTTACATTGCGACGCATTTAAATGTGCAGAACTTTTTTAACTTGGTAGATTGCTTATGCAGTTTTTTAGCACACGCGAAAGTAATCGCTAATCTCGTTGTGTTTTGGTTGAACCAACAGTAAGTGTATATGCGTGTACGTAATATTATTTAATAAAAAATTTTTTATTATTATTTACATATGATTATATATATATACGCATTAATCGAGATATATATTATTTTTTATATCAAATGTCATATATAACTGCTTGCGCCCACGTACCAAAAAATTAAACATCTTTTTCTGTAATTGCCTATATGTGTGCATTTAATTTGTTATTATTATTTGAATCTAGTAAAAAAACATAAACATATTTTGAAATATGTACAAAAAGATTTCGCTCAAAAGATCAGAGATATCAATATTGTTTCGCGCGCGATTCGAAGACGATATATTTCTGAAGATACGGTTGACTTGACGCGATAGGTAGGACTTATATTTGAATTCGACAGCATGATCAATGAACAATCGTCCACAGAAAATTCGTGGAGACCTTGACGTTAATCACGGACGACTGGAATGATTGCGCTAAGAATGATAACGGCATGCGCGTGATGACAGACAAGGCAAAGATATCAGATCGTATCACTAATACGATATTCATCCTTCATACGGCGACAATAGCTGCGTATGGCCTGGGAACTGTTATCACTGATGTCGATATTACAGATAAAATCGAGCTGCCGCTTATCAACAAATTAGAACTTCCCTTCAATGTTAATACGCAGCGAACGTATAGATTAGTGTTAATCATAGAATTTATGCACATGATTCTTACAAATTGGGCATCTGGTGTTATATATGCCATATTTTTGGCTATGGTAAGTTGTGACTGTGTAAGGAGTTATAACTTGATAATAATAATGATTATTTGAAATTTTGTGTTGTTACTTTCCTTGGATATTGTATCTATACTAATATTCTGTTTTTTAATTTCAAAATCATTTTTCTATAAAGTTAAAAAATTTTCCTGAAGTATGCTTTCAGTATAAAACATTTTATTAAATAAATTTTTGAAAATTATATTTTTAAGGTGATATTTTCACTTTTTTGTGTAAACTATTGATAGTTTAAGTGTTTTACATGTGTAAATAAAATTATTTTTAATAAATATTGAATCTTTTTTTAGATTATACATGTAGGTGGTCAAATGGATGTTCTGCAACGTTTGTTGTCAGAATTTATTCCGAAAGAAATTGAAGATAAGCAAAAATCTGTCGTTATTACAGCAAACAAGATTATTTTAAAACATCAAAAAATTATTCATCTTTCTGAAAGTATTGAGTGCTTGTATACGTACATTGCGTTATTGATATTCGCGTCAAACACAATATTGATGTGCTCTCTAGGTTTTCTTATTGTAACCGTAAGCACAATAATCACGCTGCGAGAGGGGAAGAGAAATTGTTATATTCTGTAAAAATAAATTTTGTTTTTGCTCGAACATTAAATAATGCATAAAGAGCTATTTTCTTTATTTTCTTAGGCTATTGGTACTGCTGATTTTGTGGAGCAAATGACGAAGTGTGTTTTATTTTTCACATCAACCAATCTGGAGGCATTCATATTTTGTTACGCCGGAGAATATTTAAATAGTAAGGTCAGTGATGGGAAGTAATTAGTCTAACAAATATCAAATTTTTAATGATAGTATAAATACTCATAGTTTTATATGCATTTTTTATAAAACATGGCTTTGTGTTAAATATTCTTTTAACAGTAATATCATAATGTAATAAAAAGTGATAATATAAAATCTCTTTGTTACTATTACTTTCACAGAGCAAAGAGATCGGATTTGCATTGTACAATTGTGCGTGGTACAATTTGAAATCTAAAGACAGTCGCATTTTGTTACTAGTTCTATTACGATCACAGAAACATTTAACACTAACAGCTGGCAAGATAATGGATCTCACATTAGAATCTTTTACAAGTGTAAGATTTAAGCAGAATATAAAGTTTTGATAGTTAACTCTGTCCCTAGAAAACAATATAAATGTACTATTTACTACATAATATTCTTTTTTATTAGTACACCTTTTTATTATAGAAATATTCTCTATTTGTTGTAGCAAGATTCTGTTTATATACTAATTCCTAATACAAACAATATTTTTTAGATTATGAATGCTTCGGGATCATATCTATCGGTATTATTAGCAATGCAATGAGGTGACATCGACTTTTTTTTATTAAGAGTGTTTTGAAAACAAAAGTGTTATAAGAATTCATTATAGATATCATTTTAACATCAGGATAATTAAATATAATGTTAGATTGATACCTTAATTATATATATACATTAGCAATTCTAGGAATTTACATTGTAGCATAGTATATTTCTCCAAATATAAATTTATTGCAATAAACTAATTCGCATCTATTTTTAAATCACATTAAATGATAATAAAAACATATTTTACGTAAGTATTACAAATATAAAAGTTTATTCATTGTTCAATATATAGGGAAATAATGAAGATACTTCATTATTTTCTGTGAAAAAATAATAATAATAAACACGTACATTAATTAATTTTTATGATAGAAATAATATATGTATTATACAAAAATATTTCATACAATAAATAAGGCAAAAATATTAGAATTATATGTAACTTTATATGAAAGAGTGGGCATGAAAAAGACTTCTCCTTTAAATACGAAAAAAATTTAATTTGGTATTGAACAAATATAATAACTTTCACGATTAAGTATAATAAAAGTCAGAATGATTATTTATGTTTAAAAAATTGGCATTGTGCCGCGTGACGTTACCATCACGAACTAACGCAATACAATACTAAGCAATAAATCAATACATCGCCAACGCATAGACACTGCCATTAGTTGTTTCTTATGAAATATTATCGTCAATTTACTAGCCAGTAGACGATTTCCAGAAAATGTAATGCCATTGTGCACAAAAATTAAATATATACTCTCGTAGAACGGACGATACGTGTATCTCTTCACATGAATCATTACATATTTAACGTACGAACTTAATAGCTGCAACAGCTGCATTGTGAGTATCACAGGCGGGCAAAGAACATCTCACATATCCTCATTTTTTTTCCATAAAGTTTCAAGGAAACATGACGGATATATTTAAGGCTTGCATGTACAATAAAAATATTTCATGAGCAATTTTCATTGATCGATTTACTAGTGGTGAGTCTGCTTGAACACCTCCAACAACACAGTCCTTATGCAAAGTGTCCAATGGTACACATTGTCCAATAGTTGGGAGATACAGTATTAAATTGTTTAACTTTTTTAAAAATTCTCCTTTAATAACTCTTACTCTGTTAAATATTCTCCAATGCGCTTGCCTGAACAAACAGAGCGCACAGAGAAATAAACATTATGACTCGTAAGAGCACGATTAATCGTAAAGTGTTTCTTATGCTTCCTTGGTGTGGCATCAGTTCAGACGGAATAATTAAGTTAACAGCCAGATTATTTTGGATTTTTACATTAGGATTTACAGGATATTGTCATTGCCTATATTTTGCAACACATTTAAATGGGCAGAACTTCTTTAACTTGGTAGATTGCTTAAGCAGCTTCACAGCATTCGCAAAACTTTTTACTAAACTCGTTGCGTTTTGGTTGAATCAACAGTAAGTGTATATGAGAGTTTGTAATGCTATTTAAATAAAACATTTTTTATTATTATTTTTATTTTAATTATTCACATAATTATATATCTACATATTAAATAAAGATATAAATTATTATTAAAATCGAAAGTCATAGTACTGCGCGCACGCACTAAGAAGTTACATATTCTTTTCTATAATTGCCTATAAGCGCGCATATAATTTGTTATTATTACTTGTTTCTGGGAAAAAACAAAAATTACTGAAATATGTAAGAAAAAAATTTAGCTCAAAAGAACAGAGATGTTAATATTGTTTTGCGCACGATTCGAAGATGATATATTTCTTAAGACACGGTTTACTTGGCGAGATAAATGGGACTCTTACATGAATTCGACAGCATGATTGAATAATCGTCCCCAGAAAATTCGTGGAGATTATGATGTTAATCACGGACGACTGGAATGATTGCGCTGAGAATGATATCGGCATGCGCGTGATGACAGACAAAGCAAAGATATCAGATCGTATCACTAATATGATTTTCATCCTTCACATCATGGCTGTAGCTCCATATTTCCTCGTAATTATTATCGCTGATATTGATATTACAGATAAAATCGAGCTGCCGCTTATGAACAAATTAGAGTTCCCCTTCAGGGTTAGTACGCAACGAATGTATAGATTTGTGTTAATAACAGAATTTATACACATGATGTTTGCAAATTGTGTGTCTGGTATTATAAATATCATATTTTTGGCTATGGTAAGTTGTAACTGTGTAAGAAGTTAAAACTTAAAATTTATAGAAATAATAATAGTTATTTGAAATTTCGTCATGTTACTTTCGCTGAATAATATATCTATACTAATATTCTACACAATAAATTCAAAATCATTATTCTGCAAGGTAAAAGATGTTTCATGGAATATGTTATCTGTATAATATATTTTATTAAATATATTTTCGAAAATATTATACTTATAAATATATTTTTATTCTTTTGTGTAAACTTTTGAGAGTTTAATTAATTTACATGGGTAGCAAAAATTATTATAATTAAAAATTGAATCTTCTCTTTCAGATTATGCATGTAGGTGGTCAAATGGATGTTCTGCAACGTTTGCTGGCAGAATTCATTCCCAAAGAAATTGGAGATAAGCAAAAATCGGTCGTTATCACAGCAAACAAAATAATTTTGAAACATCAAAAAATCATTCAATTTTCACAAAATATCGAAAGCATATATACATACATTACATTATTCATATTTGTAACAAACACAATAACCATGTGCTGTCTAGGTTTTCTTATCGTAACCGTAAGTTCAATAATCACACTGCGAAAGGGAAAGAGAAATTGTTATATTATCTGAAAATATATTTTGATAACTCTCGAAACTTAAATAATGCATAAAGTTATTTTCTTTATTTTCTCAGGCTATTGGTACTGCTGATTTTGTGGAGCAAATGACGAAATGTGTTTTATTTTTTACATCAACAAACCTGGAGGCATTCATATTTTGTTACGGCGGAGAATATTTAAATAGTAAGGTCAGTAATGAGAAGTAATTACTGCAAAAAAAACCGAAATTATTAATGATAGCAGAATTATATATATACACACACACACGCATATCTATAAAACATGGCATAAAGTAAATACTTTTATATTTGTTATATTATAATTTAACGAACAATGTAATATTATATATAGTCTCTTTTACTTTCGTAGAGCACTGAGATCGGATTTGCAACGTACAATTGTGCATGGTACAATTTGAATTCTAAACACAGTCGCATTTTGTTACTAGTAATATTACGATCACAGAAACAATTAACGCTAACAGCTGGCAAAATAATGGATCTCACATTAGACTCTTTTACAAATGTAAGATTTAAAAAGAAGAGAAAATTTGGATAGTTAACTCTGTCCCTAGAAAACAATAGATGTATTATTTACTAGATAATATTCTTTTTTATCAAAATGTACCTTTTTATTATAGAAATATTCTCTATTTGTTGTAGCAATATTCTGTTTAAATATCAATTTCTAATACAAACAACACTGTTATAGATTATGAATGCTTCGGGATCATACCTATCGGTATTATTAGCAATGAAATAAATTAGTGCCGACTATTTTTTATTAAAAAAGTTTTATGATAAAGAAAGTGTTATGACAAGACACAGATCATTTAGCATCAAGACAACATAATGGCATAAAATATTATCTTACCACTTTGGGAATTATTTGTACATTACCAATTCTAGGAATTCACATTGTAATATGGTACATTTCTTAAAATATAAATTTAGTAGAATAAACTAAAAAATTATTATTTATATCACATCATACATAATAATATCAGGTTTTATGTAAGTATTATAAATATCAAAAATTTATTCATATTGTCCTATATAGTAACAAAATGATAAAATATTTCATTTTTCTCTGGCAAGAAACCTTATTTTGCACGTTAAGTATATAGTAAAATAATAAACACAATACATTAATAATTTTTTTTGATACATTAAAATTAATCTGTTTTATACAAAAATATATTTCATATAATATATAAAGGAAAACAATTAGAATTATGCGTAACATTATACAAAGTTAGATTGATTATTTATGTTTTAAGAATTGTCATTTGTCGCGTGACGTTACAACCATGAGTAATCGTGAAACAATACTACGCAATAAAATCAATAGTTACATCGCTAACGCATGTCATCAATTGTTTCTTATGAAATATTATCGTCAATTTACTAGCCAGTAGACGATTTCGAGGAAATGAAATGCCATGATGCACAAAAATTAACTATATACTCTCGTAGAACGGACAATACGTGTATCTCTTCACATGAATCATTACATATTTAACGTACGATCTTAATAGCTGCAACAGCTGCAATGTGAGTATCACAGGCGGGCAAAGAACATCTCACATATCCTCATTTTTTTTCCATAAAGTTTCAAGGAAATATGACAGATGTATTTGAGGCTTGCACGTACAATAAAAATATTTCATGAGCAATTTTCATTGATCGATCTGCTAGTGATGAGTCTGCTTGAACACCTCCCACAACTTATCAGTCTTTACGTAGGGTGTCCAATAATAGATATCGTCCTATCGTTGGAAGATACATTTCTAAATTCTTTAACTTTCTTGAAAATTCTCCCTTAACAATTCTTTCTCTATTAAATATTCTCTAATGCGTTTGGCTGAACAAACGTAGCGCACAGAGGAATAAAGCGTTATGACTCGTAAGAGCACGATTAATCGTAAAGTGTTTTTTCTGCTTCCTTGGTATGGCATCAGTTCAGACGGAATAATTAAGTTAACAGCCAGATTATTTTGGATTTTTACGTTAGGATTTATAGGATATTGTCATTGCCTTTATTTTTCGACGCATTTAAATGGGCAGAACTTCTCTAACTTGGTACATTGCTTATGCAGCTTCATAGCTTTCGCGAAACTTATCACTAAACTCGTTGTGTTTTGGTTGAACCAACAGTAAGTGTATATGAGAGTATATAGTGTTATTTAAATAAAACATTTTTTATTGTTATTTATAATTTAATTGTTGATATATATACGTATTAATCAAGATATAAATTATTATTAAAATTAAAAGTCGTAGTATTGTGCGCACGAACTAAAGAGTTACCTAGTTTTTTCTATAATTACTTATAAGCGCGCATATAATTTGTTATTATTATTTGTTTCTGGAAAAAAAGACATAAAAATTACTGAAATATGTAAGAAAAAATTTCGCTCAAAGAAACAGAGATGTCAATATTGTTTTCCGCGCGAGTCGAAGATAATAATATTTCTGAAGATACGGTTTACTTGGCGAGATGAACGGGACTTTTATACAGTGAGTATAAAAAGTATTTGCACACTCGATTATTTTGCAATAACTTTGTGCAAAGGAATAATATATTAATACCAACTGTGCCTTTAGATAGTGTATTACATATGGAGATGATACGTTGTTAGAGAATTCTCTATCGCACTGCATAATAAAATAATGCAAAAGAAATGAAAATTTTCATGCACAAAGAGTATTTGCACATGTGTGATTGTGATGGTAAACTTATAATAATTCAGTTTCTTAATCTTTGAGTAAGTTATTATTATTTTGTATGCATACTTTTGGCTTCAATAATAGCTTCTAATCTTCTGGGATGGATTCTATCAATTTCTTTGTAGTTTCTGTTGATATTTTAGACCATTCTTCTAGAAGCTCTTTTTTCAAGTCATTTTTGTTAGAAATTTTTCTTTTCTTATTTGTAAGTCTAACAGATGCCACAGATTTTCAATGGGATTGACGTCTAGCGACTGTGGAGGCGTAATTAATTGTCGCGGAACATTATACAGTAAACATTCTTTCGTTTTTCTAGCGATGTGTTTAGGATCTTTATCCTGCTAGAACTGATAAGCCTCATGTATATCCAGTTTCATTGCACTTTCTAATAAATTACTTCGCAACATCTCGATATAGTTTTCTGCATTCATTATATGATTAATAAATGCTATATATCCAACACCATTATACGCCATGCAACCCCATATCATGACGTTTCCACCACCGTGTTTGACAGTCGACTGTAGATTCTTCTCTTGGAACTCAGTATTCGGTTTCCTCCATACATATATCCTTCGAATCAGAACAAAAAATATTAAACTTGCTTTCATCAGAGAAAATAATATTTCTCCGAAACTCAATCGGCTTACTTAAATACGTTTTGGCGAATTCCAACCGCTTTCGTCTATTTATGTCACTTATGTAAGGTTTCTTTCTTGCCACTCTGCCGTAAAGTTGAGCCGAGTGCAAAACATTTCTGATAGTTTGAGCACACACATTCCTTCCTGACATTGAAGCAATACCTGCAGATAAACTCTGAGCACTTACGGAAGGATTTTTCGATGCTTGTCTTATAATATCGCGCCGCTCTCTAGTCGTAAGTATCTTTGGCCGTCCTGATCTCGGTTCATTCTCAGTACTTTTAATCTCTTCATATTTTTTAACGATGTATCGCACTGTTGAAGACTGTAATCTCATTGTTTTATCCATTTGTTTATAACTTTGACCACTTTTACATAACATAATAAATCTATCGCGCATGGATGTAGATATCTTACTACTTTTAAGAACCATACTTTCTCTATAAAGTGTGTACATCGACTAACTTCGTAGATAAGCTAGAAGTAGTCATGTAAACAAACTCTCTTTACGTTATAGATCTCGGTAGTGTCTTTGAAGCGAATAATCTTACATTTACTACGGCAATCACACATGTGCAAATACTTTTTGTGGACGAAAATTTTCAATTTTTTTGCATCATTTTGTTATGCCGTATAATAGAGAATTCTTCAACAATGTATGGTCTTCATATGTAATACACTATCTACAGGCATAATTGGTATTAATGTATTATTCCTTTGAACAAAGTTATTGCAAAAAAATTGAGTGCGCAAATACTTTTTTGACCCACTGTATATATATTCGATAGCATGATCGAATAATCATCCCCAGAAAATTCGTGGAGACTATGATGTTAATCACGGAAGACTGGAATGATTGCGCTGAGAATGATATCGGCCTGCGCGTGATGACAGACAAGGCAAAGATATCAGATCGTATCACTAATATGATTTTCGTCCTTCACACGGTGACTGTTGCTCTACATTCCCTCGGAATTATTATCGCTGATGTCGATATAACTGATAACATCGAGCTGCCGCTTTTACACAAATTAGAGCTTCCCTTCAGTGTTAATACGCAACGAATGTATAGATTAGTGTTAATCACAGAATTTATACACTTGATTTTTTCAAATTGGATGTCTGGTGTTATAAATATCATATTTTTGGCTATGGTAAGTTGTAACTGTGTAAGAAGTTAAAACGTAAAATTTATAGTAATAATAACGATTATTTGAAATTTAGTGTTGTTACTTTCGTTAAATAATGTATCTATACTAATATTATACATTTTTATTTCAAAATCATTATTCTGCAAGGTTAAAGAAGTTTCATAGAATGTTATCTATATAAGAAATTCTAACAAATATATTTTCGAAAATTATACTTATAAATATATGATATTTTTATTCTTTCGTCTAAACACACACTACTGAGAGTTTAATTAAGTTATATGTGTAGCTAAAATTATTATTATTAAAAATTGAATCTTCTATTTTAGATTATACATGTAGGTGGTCAAATGGATGTTCTGCAACATTGGTTGGAAGAATTTATTCCCAAAGGAAATGAAATTAAACAAAAATCTGTCGTTATCACAGCAAGCAAGATTATTTTAAAACATCAAAAAATCATTCAATTTTCACAAAATATCGAGAGCATATATACGTACATTGCGTTATTCGTAGTTGCATCAAACACAATAATTATGTGCTTTCTAGGTTTTCTTATTGTAACTGTAAGCACAATAATCACACTGTGAGAGAGGAAGAGAAATTGCTATATTCTGAAAAAATAAATTTTGCTTTTGCTCGATCCTTAAATAATGCATAAAGACCTATTTTCTTTATTTTCTCAGGCTATTGGTACTGCTGATTTTATGAAGCAAATGTCGAAATTTGTTCTATTTTTCATAATAACAAACATGGAGGCATTCATATTTTGTTACGGCGGAGAATATTTAAATAGTAAGGTCAGTAATAAGAAGTAATTACTGGAATAAGAACCGAAATTATTAGTGATAGCATAAATACTTGTAATCTTATATACATATCTATAAAACATGGCATAGATTTATAAAATAGACATATATATATTTATAAAACATTTCATACAGTAAATATTTTTATAGTAGATATATTATACTGTAGTAAAAAAAAGTAATATTATATAGAGTCTCTTTTTGTAGAGTAAAGAGATCGGATTTGCAACGTACAATTGTGCATGGTACAATTTGAAATCTAAACACAGTCGCATTTTGTTACTCGTAATATTACGGTCACAGGAACAATTAACGCTAACAGCTGGCAGGATAATGGATCTCACATTACAATCTTTTACAAGTGTAAGAGAAGAGAAGTATAGAAATTTTTGATAGTTAACTCTGTCTTTAGAATCAATATATATGTACTATTTATTAGATAATATTATTTATTATAAGTTCGCCTTTTTTTATAGAATTATTCTCTATTTATTGTAGCAATATTCTATTTAAATATCAATTCCTAATACAAACAACATTGTTATAGATTATGAATGCTTCGGGATCATACCTATCGGTATTATTAGCAATGCAATAAATTATCGTCGACTCTTTTTTATTAAAAAAGTGTTATGATAACAAAAGTGTTACGAGAAGACATTTAAGAGTTCATTTTAACATCAAGAATGACAAAAAATATTATCTTAGTATCTTGGGAATCATTTATAAATTAGCAATTCTAGGAATTCACATAGTAATATAGTATATTTCTCGAAATATAAATTTAGTAGGACAAACTAACTCATATCTTATTATTTAAATTACATCATAATAATATTAGGTTTTACGTAAGTATTACAATAGTCATGAATTTATTTATAGTGCAATTTGGGGACAAAATGATTAAATATTTCTACTTTCTCTGCAAAAATATCGTATTTTGCATATTAAGTATACAGTGACGATACACACATATTTTAATAAAAAGGCTTCGATAAAAATTAATCTGTATTATACAAAAAATACTCCATACAGTATATAGGAAAAAATAATTACAGTTATATATAACATTAAACAAAGCCTGAGATTATTTATACTTTAAGTATCGACATTTGACGTTTGACGTTATCATCACGATTTAGCGCGATACAATACTGAGCAATAAAATCAATAGTTACTTCGCCAACGCATGGGCATTGCCATCAGTTGTTCTCTTATGTAATATTATCATGCATTTACTAGCCAGTAGACAATTTTCCAGGAAATATAATACCTTGATACACAAAAATTAACGACATTTTCTAGTAGGACGGACGTTATATGTATCTCTTCACATGTATCATTATATATTTAACATACGCACTTCATAATAGCAACAGCTGCATTTTCAGTACGAGAGAGGTGGGCGATAACATCTTATTTATCCTCATTTTTTTTTCATAAAATTTCAAAGAAACATGACGGATGTATTTCAGTCTTGCATGTACCTTAAAAATATTTTATGAGCAGCTTTCATTTGTCGATATTCTAACGGTGAACTTGCTTAAACACCTCCAACATCTCATCAGTCTTTATGCAGGGTGTCTTATGATATACCATACATTGTCCTATCTTTGGGAGATTCATTTCTAAATTTTTTAACTTTTTTAAAAATTCTCCCTTAACAATTCTTACTGTATTAAATATTCTCTAATGCGTTTTACTTGAACTAACCGAGAGCACAGAGAAATAAAGCATTATGACTCGTAAGAGCACGATTAATCGTATAGTGTTTCTTATGCTTCCTTGGTGTGGTATCGGTTCAGACAGAATAATTATAGTAATAGCCAGATTATTTTGGATTTTTACATTAGGATTCATTGGATTTTGTCATTGCCTTTACTTTGCGACGCATTTAAATGCACAGAACTTTTTTAACTTGGTAGATTGCTTATGCAGCTTCTTAGCACACGCGAAAGTAATCACTAAACTCGTTGCGTTTTGGTTGAACCAACAGTAAGTGTATATGCAAGTGTGTAATATTATTTAAGTAAAATAATTTTTATTTTATTTTTATTTATAATTTAATTATTGATATATACACGTATTAATCAAGACATAAATCATTATTAAAATCAAGAGTCATAACATTAGTTGCGCGCGCGCATCAAAAAATTACATAGCTTCTTCTATAATTGCCTATTTGCGTGCGTTTAATTTGTTATTATTATTTGATTATGTAAAAAAAACAACAATTACTGAAATAAGTATCAAAAAATTTTGTTAAAAAAGCAGTGATGTTAATATTGTTTTCCGCCCGAGTCGAAAATAATATATTTCTGAAGATACGGTTCACTTGGCGCGATGAATAGGACTTTTATTTGAATTCGACAGCATGATCGAGGAACAATCGTCCACAGAAAATTCGTGGAGACCTTGACGTTAATCACGGACGACTGGAATGATTGCGCTGAGAATGATATTGGCATACGCGTGATGACAGATAAGGCAAAGTTATCAGATCGTATCACTAATATGATATTCATCCTTCACACAGTGACGATTACTGCGTATTGCCTGGGAACTGTTATCGCTGATGTCGATATTACAGATAAAATGGAGCTGCCGCTTATCAACAAATTAGAGCTTCCCTTCAGTGTTAATACGCAACGAATGTATAGATTAGTGTTAATTATAGAATTTATGCACATGATTCTTACAAATTTGGCATCTGGTGTTATAAATACCATATTTTTGGCTATGGTAAGTTATAACCGTATAAGAATTGATAACTTAAAATTTGCAATCATAATAACGATAATTTGAAACTTCGTATTGTTACTTTCGTTAAATAATATATTTATGTTAATATTAAGTTGATGATATTTTCACTCTTTCATGTAAACTATGATAGTTTAATATTTTATATGCGTAGCTAAAGTTATTTTAATTGAAAATTGAATCTTCTCTCTTTCAGATTATACATGTAGGTGGTCAAATGGATGTTCTTCAACGTTGGCTGGCAGAATTTATTCCCAAAGGAATTGAAAATAAGCAAAAATCAGTCGTTATTGCACCAAACAAGATTATTTTCAAACATCAAAAAATTATTCAATTTTCAGAATGTATCGAGAGCTTGTATACCTTCATTGCATTATTGATATTCGCGTCAAACACAATATTGATGTGCTCTCTAGGTTTTCTTATTGTAACCGTAAGCACAATAATTATACTGCGAGGGGTGAAGAAAAAATGTTATATATTCCGTAAAATTAAATTTTACGTATTCGATCATTAAATAATGCCTAATGCTATTTCCTTTATTTTCTCAGGCTATTGGTACAGCAGATATCGTGGAGCAAATGATGAAATGTCTTTTATTTTTCACATCAACAAATCTGGAGGCATTCATATTTTGTTACGCCGGAGAATATTTAAATAGTAAGGTCAGTGGTGAGAAGTAATTACTCGAATAAATATCAAATTTTTAATGATAGTATAAGTACTCATAATTTTATATGTATTTTTTATAAAACATAGCATCGTGTTAAATATTCTTTTAGTAGTAATATCATAATGTAGTAAAAAGTGATAATACAAAACCTCTTTGTTACTGTTACTTTCACAGAGCAAAGAAATCGGATTTGCGACGTACAATTGTGCATGGTACAATTTGAAATCTAAAGATAGTCGCATTTTGTTACTCGTAATATTACGATCACAGAAACAATTAACGCTAACAGCTGGCAAGATAATGGATCTCACATTAGAATCTTTTACAAGTGTAAGATTTAAGCAAAATAGAAAATTTTGATAGTTAACTCTCTATCCCAAGAAAACAAAATAAATGTACTATTTACTAGAACTATTGTAGATAATATTTTTTTTTATTAGTACACCTTTTTATTATAGAAATATTCTCTATTTGTTGTAGCAATATTCTGTTTTTATATTACTTTCTAATACAAACAATATTTTTATAGATTATGAATGCTTCGGGATCATATCTATCGGTATTATTAGCAATGCAATGAGCTGGCATCTACTTTTCTTTATTAAGAGTGTTTTAACAACAAAAGTATAAGAAAAGTATAATAAAACATTATAGACATCATTTTAACATCAGGATAATAACAAATAATGTTAGCTTGCTGCATAAGAAATTATATATACATTAGCAATTCTAGGAATTTACATTGAATCATACTATATTTCTCAAAATATAAATTTAGTACAATAAACTAATTCGTATCTATTTTTAAATCACAATACATCACAACGAAATCAGTTTTTACGTAAATATTACAAATATCTAGAATTTATTCATTATCCAATATAGAGACAAAATGATAAAATATTTCATTTTTCTCTGGCAAGAAACCTTATTTTGCACGTTAAGTATATAGTAAAATAATAAACACAATACATTAATAATTTTTTTTGATTAAAATTAATCTGTTTTATACAAAAATATATTTCATATAATATATAAAGGAAAACAATCAGAATTATACGTAACATTACACAAAGTTAGATTCATTATTTACGTTTTAAGAATCGTCATTTGCGACGTGACGTTACAACCATGAGTTATCGCGAAACAATACTACACAATAAAATCAATAGTTACATCGCTAACGCATGTCATCAATTGTTTCTTATGAAATATTATTGTCAATTTACAAGCCAGTAGACGATTTCGAGGAAATAAAATGCCATAATGCACAAAAATTAACTATATACTCTCGTAGAACGGACAATACATGTATCTCTTAACATGAAACAATATATGTTTAATATACGCACTTAATAGCTGCAACAGCTGCATTGTGAGTATCACAGGCGGGCAAAGAACATTTCACATATCCTCATTTTTTTCTATAAAGTTTCAAGGAAATATGACGTATGTATTTGAGGCTTGCACGTACAATGAAAATATTTCATGAGCAATTTTCATTGATCGATTTGCTAGTGGTGAGTCTGCGTGAACACCTCCCACAACTCATCAGTCCTTACGTAGGGTGTCGAATAATATATATCGTCCTATCGTTGGAAGATACATTGTTAAATTCTTTTACTATCTTGAAAATTCTCCCTTAACAATTCTTTCTCTATTAAATATTCGCTAATGCGTTTAGCTGAACAAACGTAGCGCACAGAGGAATAAAGCGTTATGACTCGTAAGAGCACGATTAATCGTAAAGTGTTTCTTATGCTTCCTTGGTATGGCATCAGTTCAGACGGAATAATTAAATTAACAGCCAGATTATTTTGGATTTGTACGTTAGGATTTATAGAATATAGTCACTGCCTTTATTTTTCGATGCATTTAAATGGGCAGAACTTCTTTAACTTGGTACATTGCTTATGCAGCTTTATAGCTTTCGGGAAACTTATCACTAAGCTCGTTGTGTTTTGGTTGAACCAACAGTAAGTGTATATTTGAGTATATAGTGTTATTTAAATAAAACATTTTTTATTGTTATTTATAATTTAATTGTTGACATATATACGTATTAATCAAGATATAAATTATTATTAAAATTAAAAGTCGTAGTATTGAGCGCATGCACTAAAGAGTTACATAGTTTTTTTTATAATTACCTATAAGCGCGTATATAATTTGTTATTATTACTTGTTTCTGGAAAAAAAAATATAAAAATCACTGAAAGATGTAAGAAAAAATTTCGCTCAAAAGAACAGAGATGTCAATAATGTTTTCCGCGCGAGTCGAAGATGATATATTTCTGAAGATACGGTTTAGTTGGCGAGGTAAAAGGGATAGCTTATATATATATTCGATAGCATGATCGAATAATAATCCCCAGAAAATTCGTGGAGACTATGATGTTAATCACGGAAGACTGGAATGATTGCGCTGAAAATGATATCGGCCTGCGCTTGATGACAGACAAGGCAAAGATATCAGATCGTATCACTAATATAATGTTCGTCCTTCACACGGCGACTATTACTAGTATTTCTGTATCTTCCCTCGGAATGATTATTGCTGATTTCGATATTACTGATAACATCGAGCTGCCGCTTATACACAAATTAGAGCTTCCCTTCAGTGTTAATACGCAACGAATGTATAGATTAGTGTTAATCACAGAATTTATACACTTGATTTTTTCAAATTGGATGTCTGGTGTTATAAATATCATATTTTTGGCTATGGTAAGTTGTAACTGTGTAAGAAGTTAAAACGTAAAATTTATAGTACTAATAAAGATTATTCGAAATTTAGTGTTGTTACTTTCGTTAAATAATGTATCTATACTAATATTCTACACTTTTATTTCAAAATCATTATTCTGCAAAGTTAAAGAAGTTTCATAGAATATGTTATCTATATAAGAGATTCTAATAAATATATTTTCGAAAATTATACTTATAAATATATGATATTTTTATTCTTTCGTGTAAACACACACTATTGAGGGTTTAATTAAGTTACATGTGTAACTAAAATTATTATTATTAAAAATTGAATCTTCTCTTTTAGATTATACATGTAGGCGGTCAAATGGATGTTCTGCAACATTGGTTGGAAGAATTTATTCCCAAAGGAAATAAAATTACGCAAAAACCTGTCGTTATCACAGCAAGCAAGATTATTTTAAAACATCAAAAAATCATTCAATTTTCACAAAATATCGAGAACATATATACGTACATTGCGTTATTCGTAGTTGCATCAAACACAATAATGATGTGCTTTCTAGGTTTTCTTATTGTAACTGTAAGCACAATAATCACACTGCGAGAGAGGAAGAGAAATTGCTATATTTTGAAAAAATAAATTTTGCTTTGCTCGAACCTTAAATAATGCATAAAAACCTATTTTCTTCATTTTCTCAGGCTATTGGTACTGCTGATTTTGTGGAGCAGATGTCGAAATGTGTTTTATTTTTCACAATAACAAACATGGAGACATTCATATTTTGTTACGGCGGAGAATATTTAAATAGTAAGGTCAGTAACGAGAAGTAATTACTGGAATAAGGACCAAAATTATTAGTGATAGCATAGATACTTGTAATCTTATATACATATCTATAAAACATGGCATAGATTTATAAAATAGACATATATATATTTATAAAACATGGCATACAGTAAATATTTTTATAGTAGATATATTATACTGTAGTAAAAAAAAGTAATATTATATAGAGTCTCTTTTTGTAGAGTAAAGAGATCGGATTTGCAACGTACAATTGTGCATGGTACAATTTGAAATCTAAACACAGTCGCATTTTGTTACTCGTAATATTACGGTCACAGGAACAATTAACGCTAACAGCTGGCAAGATAATGGATCTCACATTAGAATCTTTTACAAGTGTAAGAGAAGAGAAGTATAGAAATTTTTGATAGTTAACTCTGTCTTTAGAATCAATATATATGTACTATTTATTAGATAATATTATTTATTATAAGTTCGCCTTTTTTTATAGAATTATTCTCTATTTATTGTAGCAATATTCTATTTAAATATCAATTCCTAATACAAACAACATTGTTATAGATTATGAATGCTTCGGGATCATACCTATCGGTATTATTAGCAATGCAATAAATTATCGTCGACTCTTTTTTATTAAAAAAGTGTTATGATAACAAAAGTGTTACGAGAAGACATTTAAGAGTTCATTTTAACATCAAGAATGACAAAAAATATTATCTTAGTATCTTGGGAATCATTTATAAATTAGCAATTCTAGGAATTCACATAGTAATATAGTATATTTCTCGAAATATAAATTTAGTAGGACAAACTAACTCATATCTTATTATTTAAATTACATCATAATAATATTAGGTTTTACGTAAGTATTACAATAGTCATGAATTTATTTATAGTGCAATTTGGGGACAAAATGATTAAATATTTCTACTTTCTCTGCAAAAATATCGTATTTTGCATATTAAGTATACAGTGACGATACACACATATTTTAATAAAAAGGCTTCGATAAAAATTAATCTGTATTATACAAAAAATACTCCATACAGTATATAGGAAAAAATAATTACAGTTATATATAACATTAAACAAAGCCTGAGATTATTTATACTTTAAGTATCGACATTTGACGTTTGACGTTATCATCACGATTTAGCGCGATACAATACTGAGCAATAAAATCAATAGTTACTTCGCCAACGCATGGGCATTGCCATCAGTTGTTCTCTTATGTAATATTATCATGCATTTACTAGCCAGTAGACAATTTTCCAGGAAATATAATACCTTGATACACAAAAATTAACGACATTTTCTAGTAGGACGGACGTTATATGTATCTCTTCACATGTATCATTATATATTTAACATACGCACTTCATAATAGCAACAGCTGCATTTTCAGTACGAGAGAGGTGGGCGATAACATCTTATTTATCCTCATTTTTTTTTCATAAAATTTCAAAGAAACATGACGGATGTATTTCAGTCTTGCATGTACCTTAAAAATATTTTATGAGCAGCTTTCATTTGTCGATATTCTAACGGTGAACTTGCTTAAACACCTCCAACATCTCATCAGTCTTTATGCAGGGTGTCTTATGATATACCATACATTGTCCTATCTTTGGGAGATTCATTTCTAAATTTTTTAACTTTTTTAAAAATTCTCCCTTAACAATTCTTACTGTATTAAATATTCTCTAATGCGTTTTACTTGAACTAACCGAGAGCACAGAGAAATAAAGCATTATGACTCGTAAGAGCACGATTAATCGTATAGTGTTTCTTATGCTTCCTTGGTGTGGTATCGGTTCAGACAGAATAATTATAGTAATAGCCAGATTATTTTGGATTTTTACATTAGGATTCATTGGATTTTGTCATTGCCTTTACTTTGCGACGCATTTAAATGCACAGAACTTTTTTAACTTGGTAGATTGCTTATGCAGCTTCTTAGCACACGCGAAAGTAATCACTAAACTCGTTGCGTTTTGGTTGAACCAACAGTAAGTGTATATGCAAGTGTGTAATATTATTTAAGTAAAATAATTTTTATTTTATTTTTATTTATAATTTAATTATTGATATATACACGTATTAATCAAGACATAAATCATTATTAAAATCAAGAGTCATAACATTAGTTGCGCGCGCGCATCAAAAAATTACATAGCTTCTTCTATAATTGCCTATTTGCGTGCGTTTAATTTGTTATTATTATTTGATTATGTAAAAAAAACAACAATTACTGAAATAAGTATCAAAAAATTTTGTTAAAAAAGCAGTGATGTTAATATTGTTTTCCGCCCGAGTCGAAAATAATATATTTCTGAAGATACGGTTCACTTGGCGCGATGAATAGGACTTTTATTTGAATTCGACAGCATGATCGAGGAACAATCGTCCACAGAAAATTCGTGGAGACCTTGACGTTAATCACGGACGACTGGAATGATTGCGCTGAGAATGATATTGGCATACGCGTGATGACAGATAAGGCAAAGTTATCAGATCGTATCACTAATATGATATTCATCCTTCACACAGTGACGATTACTGCGTATTGCCTGGGAACTGTTATCGCTGATGTCGATATTACAGATAAAATGGAGCTGCCGCTTATCAACAAATTAGAGCTTCCCTTCAGTGTTAATACGCAACGAATGTATAGATTAGTGTTAATTATAGAATTTATGCACATGATTCTTACAAATTTGGCATCTGGTGTTATAAATACCATATTTTTGGCTATGGTAAGTTATAACCGTATAAGAATTGATAACTTAAAATTTGCAATCATAATAACGATAATTTGAAACTTCGTATTGTTACTTTCGTTAAATAATATATTTATGTTAATATTAAGTTGATGATATTTTCACTCTTTCATGTAAACTATGATAGTTTAATATTTTATATGCGTAGCTAAAGTTATTTTAATTGAAAATTGAATCTTCTCTCTTTCAGATTATACATGTAGGTGGTCAAATGGATGTTCTTCAACGTTGGCTGGCAGAATTTATTCCCAAAGGAATTGAAAATAAGCAAAAATCAGTCGTTATTGCACCAAACAAGATTATTTTCAAACATCAAAAAATTATTCAATTTTCAGAATGTATCGAGAGCTTGTATACCTTCATTGCATTATTGATATTCGCGTCAAACACAATATTGATGTGCTCTCTAGGTTTTCTTATTGTAACCGTAAGCACAATAATTATACTGCGAGGGGTGAAGAAAAAATGTTATATATTCCGTAAAATTAAATTTTACGTATTCGATCATTAAATAATGCCTAATGCTATTTCCTTTATTTTCTCAGGCTATTGGTACAGCAGATATCGTGGAGCAAATGATGAAATGTCTTTTATTTTTCACATCAACAAATCTGGAGGCATTCATATTTTGTTACGCCGGAGAATATTTAAATAGTAAGGTCAGTGGTGAGAAGTAATTACTCGAATAAATATCAAATTTTTAATGATAGTATAAGTACTCATAATTTTATATGTATTTTTTATAAAACATAGCATCGTGTTAAATATTCTTTTAGTAGTAATATCATAATGTAGTAAAAAGTGATAATACAAAACCTCTTTGTTACTGTTACTTTCACAGAGCAAAGAAATCGGATTTGCGACGTACAATTGTGCATGGTACAATTTGAAATCTAAAGATAGTCGCATTTTGTTACTCGTAATATTACGATCACAGAAACAATTAACGCTAACAGCTGGCAAGATAATGGATCTCACATTAGAATCTTTTACAAGTGTAAGATTTAAGCAAAATAGAAAATTTTGATAGTTAACTCTCTATCCCAAGAAAACAAAATAAATGTACTATTTACTAGAACTATTGTAGATAATATTTTTTTTTATTAGTACACCTTTTTATTATAGAAATATTCTCTATTTGTTGTAGCAATATTCTGTTTTTATATTACTTTCTAATACAAACAATATTTTTATAGATTATGAATGCTTCGGGATCATATCTATCGGTATTATTAGCAATGCAATGAGCTGGCATCTACTTTTCTTTATTAAGAGTGTTTTAACAACAAAAGTATAAGAAAAGTATAATAAAACATTATAGACATCATTTTAACATCAGGATAATAACAAATAATGTTAGCTTGCTGCATAAGAAATTATATATACATTAGCAATTCTAGGAATTTACATTGAATCATACTATATTTCTCAAAATATAAATTTAGTACAATAAACTAATTCGTATCTATTTTTAAATCACAATACATCACAACGAAATCAGTTTTTACGTAAATATTACAAATATCTAGAATTTATTCATTATCCAATATAGAGACAAAATGATAAAATATTTCATTTTTCTCTGGCAAGAAACCTTATTTTGCACGTTAAGTATATAGTAAAATAATAAACACAATACATTAATAATTTTTTTTGATTAAAATTAATCTGTTTTATACAAAAATATATTTCATATAATATATAAAGGAAAACAATCAGAATTATACGTAACATTACACAAAGTTAGATTCATTATTTACGTTTTAAGAATCGTCATTTGCGACGTGACGTTACAACCATGAGTTATCGCGAAACAATACTACACAATAAAATCAATAGTTACATCGCTAACGCATGTCATCAATTGTTTCTTATGAAATATTATTGTCAATTTACAAGCCAGTAGACGATTTCGAGGAAATAAAATGCCATAATGCACAAAAATTAACTATATACTCTCGTAGAACGGACAATACATGTATCTCTTAACATGAAACAATATATGTTTAATATACGCACTTAATAGCTGCAACAGCTGCATTGTGAGTATCACAGGCGGGCAAAGAACATTTCACATATCCTCATTTTTTTCTATAAAGTTTCAAGGAAATATGACGTATGTATTTGAGGCTTGCACGTACAATGAAAATATTTCATGAGCAATTTTCATTGATCGATTTGCTAGTGGTGAGTCTGCGTGAACACCTCCCACAACTCATCAGTCCTTACGTAGGGTGTCGAATAATATATATCGTCCTATCGTTGGAAGATACATTGTTAAATTCTTTTACTATCTTGAAAATTCTCCCTTAACAATTCTTTCTCTATTAAATATTCGCTAATGCGTTTAGCTGAACAAACGTAGCGCACAGAGGAATAAAGCGTTATGACTCGTAAGAGCACGATTAATCGTAAAGTGTTTCTTATGCTTCCTTGGTATGGCATCAGTTCAGACGGAATAATTAAATTAACAGCCAGATTATTTTGGATTTGTACGTTAGGATTTATAGAATATAGTCACTGCCTTTATTTTTCGATGCATTTAAATGGGCAGAACTTCTTTAACTTGGTACATTGCTTATGCAGCTTTATAGCTTTCGGGAAACTTATCACTAAGCTCGTTGTGTTTTGGTTGAACCAACAGTAAGTGTATATTTGAGTATATAGTGTTATTTAAATAAAACATTTTTTATTGTTATTTATAATTTAATTGTTGACATATATACGTATTAATCAAGATATAAATTATTATTAAAATTAAAAGTCGTAGTATTGAGCGCATGCACTAAAGAGTTACATAGTTTTTTTTATAATTACCTATAAGCGCGTATATAATTTGTTATTATTACTTGTTTCTGGAAAAAAAAATATAAAAATCACTGAAAGATGTAAGAAAAAATTTCGCTCAAAAGAACAGAGATGTCAATAATGTTTTCCGCGCGAGTCGAAGATGATATATTTCTGAAGATACGGTTTAGTTGGCGAGGTAAAAGGGATAGCTTATATATATATTCGATAGCATGATCGAATAATAATCCCCAGAAAATTCGTGGAGACTATGATGTTAATCACGGAAGACTGGAATGATTGCGCTGAAAATGATATCGGCCTGCGCTTGATGACAGACAAGGCAAAGATATCAGATCGTATCACTAATATAATGTTCGTCCTTCACACGGCGACTATTACTAGTATTTCTGTATCTTCCCTCGGAATGATTATTGCTGATTTCGATATTACTGATAACATCGAGCTGCCGCTTATACACAAATTAGAGCTTCCCTTCAGTGTTAATACGCAACGAATGTATAGATTAGTGTTAATCACAGAATTTATACACTTGATTTTTTCAAATTGGATGTCTGGTGTTATAAATATCATATTTTTGGCTATGGTAAGTTGTAACTGTGTAAGAAGTTAAAACGTAAAATTTATAGTACTAATAAAGATTATTCGAAATTTAGTGTTGTTACTTTCGTTAAATAATGTATCTATACTAATATTCTACACTTTTATTTCAAAATCATTATTCTGCAAAGTTAAAGAAGTTTCATAGAATATGTTATCTATATAAGAGATTCTAATAAATATATTTTCGAAAATTATACTTATAAATATATGATATTTTTATTCTTTCGTGTAAACACACACTATTGAGGGTTTAATTAAGTTACATGTGTAACTAAAATTATTATTATTAAAAATTGAATCTTCTCTTTTAGATTATACATGTAGGCGGTCAAATGGATGTTCTGCAACATTGGTTGGAAGAATTTATTCCCAAAGGAAATAAAATTACGCAAAAACCTGTCGTTATCACAGCAAGCAAGATTATTTTAAAACATCAAAAAATCATTCAATTTTCACAAAATATCGAGAACATATATACGTACATTGCGTTATTCGTAGTTGCATCAAACACAATAATGATGTGCTTTCTAGGTTTTCTTATTGTAACTGTAAGCACAATAATCACACTGCGAGAGAGGAAGAGAAATTGCTATATTTTGAAAAAATAAATTTTGCTTTGCTCGAACCTTAAATAATGCATAAAAACCTATTTTCTTCATTTTCTCAGGCTATTGGTACTGCTGATTTTGTGGAGCAGATGTCGAAATGTGTTTTATTTTTCACAATAACAAACATGGAGACATTCATATTTTGTTACGGCGGAGAATATTTAAATAGTAAGGTCAGTAACGAGAAGTAATTACTGGAATAAGGACCAAAATTATTAGTGATAGCATAGATACTTGTAATCTTATATACATATCTATAAAACATGGCATAGATTTATAAAATAGACATATATATATTTATAAAACATTTCATACAGTAAATATTTTTATAGTAGATATATTATACTGTAGTAAAAAAAAGTAATATTATATAGAGTCTCTTTTTGTAGAGTAAAGAGATCGGATTTGCAACGTACAATTGTGCATGGTACAATTTGAAATCTAAACACAGTCGCATTTTGTTACTCGTAATATTACGGTCACAGGAACAATTAACGCTAACAGCTGGCAAGATAATGGATCTCACATTAGAATCTTTTACAAGTGTAAGAGAAGAGAAGTATAGAAATTTTTGATAGTTAACTCTGTCTTTAGAAAACAATATATATGTACTATTTACTAGTTAATATTATTTTTTATAAGAAATTTTTTATAGAATTATTCTCTATTTATTGTAGCAATATTCTATTTAAATATCAATTCCTAATACAAACAACATTGTTATAGATTATGAAAGCTTCTGGATCCTACCTATCAGTGTTGTTAGCAATGCAATAAACATCACCTTCATCTCGACAACTTTTAATCAATAGTCGTGAAGCGTGTACAGAGACGACGTGTAAATACCTTCACTAGTTGTATATTAACATATATTGTAATATTGCATGTTTTACTAAGTATTATTCTATGAGGTATAAAGATTATTTACCATAAAGATAACTTTTAATGAAATATGACATATGAAGTTTCAGTAAACTCGTATCGTTTTCTTTTTAAAAGTGGTATATCATTTCGGTTTTTATGAACGGATATAAATCGTGGATCTTTCCTGTGAAATCGAGTTTGCAATGTAGAAGATACACGAAGATATATAGATATATAGATACGTAGTAATTTAATTTTCTCTTATTTTCTTTCGTTCTCTAAACTTTAAAATATTTTCAAAGCTCACTGAGATCACGACTCGCAATCGAATATACCGTATCTATGTCCACGCACATCATTTCTTATTTAAAGAGAGCAATTTGCATCATTGGTTCTCAGAGAAGGAAAGGAATGACCCCACCTGTTTCTTACTTTTTATTAAAATTGTTAGAACCACAACAGATGTACGAGTGGTTTACACGGAATACGGTAAAAATATTTAATGACTTATTTCCATTGATCGTCAGTCTAAGGGTAAATTCGTGTGATGACCTCTTAGGAACGCCCAGTCTTTACGTACACAGCAATTGTGTGATATATGTACATCAATCCATTGAAACGTATATCTGGCAAAAGTATACGATCAAATTCATTGTATTTCCTTTTGCTTCGTTAGAAGTATTTGTTGTATAATATATTTCATGTGCTCGCTCTCGTATAGAAAAAGTAGTAAATAAATTATTATGATCCGGAAGAGTACGATTAATCGCACACTAGAAGTCATTTGCAGTTTGTACGGTATATGGCCTGATTCTTCGCGCATTCCATTTTGCAAACTATTTTGGATTTTTTTAACAGTAATTATGCAGTTCTACCATTGTCGTTATTTGTGGACACATTTTTATTCCGATGAACTTTCCAATTTGATGGATTGTTTGAATTGCTTTATGGCATACATGAAATTCACAATCAAGATTATTGTATTTTGGTTAAATCAACGGTAAGTAACATGATTGACATAAATAATGATATAAATTGCTTATAATTAAATGACAGTTAGGTGACGTGTGACACGTATTTCTAAACAATTAATATGACGAAAGAAAATCTATAATTAATTGATTTAATCAATTATATTACATTTTGTATTAATTAATTAAATTATATTTTGTTAATTATTCAAATCACATTCTAAGATATAATTGCGACCAACTATTACGTATATTTACACGCGATTAATAGTGTGTATTGCATTTTGATTTACTTAAAAAAAAATAATAAAAAGCATGAAAACTGAAATTTTATTTAGAGAAAATTAAGACATATTATTAGAAATATTATTAGAAACTGTCAAGTAACATTTGGGAGATTATAATTTTTTAAGGACTTGAAATGATCTTTTTTGTGATCGATAGGATAATCAACGAACCAAATCCACAGAAAATTCAACAAAACTTTGGAAATGATGACGGAAGACTGGGATAATTGCGCCGACAACGAAATCTACATGCATGAAATGATAAGCAAAGCGAAATGGTCAAATCGCATTAATAACGTAATAGTAATTCTTCATATAGCCAGTGCTGTTACATACAGCTTACGTACAATCTTGGCTGATGTTGATGTCACCGATAGCACGTCTAAGCTGCCGTACGTTCACAAAATAGAATTTCCCTTTGACGTGAACACAAAAAGAACTTACAAAATTATCTTATTAACGGAAACTGTGATTTGCACCATGAACAGCATGGGTACTGGTGCTATAAATGCTTTACTTTTAATATTGGTAAGTTAAAGAACATAAGCAATTATCGCGAACTATAATGGTAACGATATCAAAAATAAAAGACAACAAATTACCTGACAATATTGAAATCTGAGCAAAGCTTGTATATAAAAACTATTTTGAGAAATTTTTCTTATGTTCTGTCTTTTTTTCTCCTAATGGGTCGTCTACATTATGGGAATAATAATGTGCATTTGGTAAGTCGTAAGCTGTAAGAAATTTACTGAAGAAATTATAATTGATTATTCTTACATTCGACTGCGATTGCGGTTAATTTCTTAAGACTTACAGATTATTATATCATATTACTTTTATTGTAGACGGCTTTTTATATAAAACGTAAATTTGAGAAATAAGAAAAATTAGATTCTCAGATAGCAACAAGTCTGTCTTATTAATGCATGTTGCTCATAAATAATTGTGTTACTATCTGAATTGCAACTAAGACCGCATTTGTTGGAAAATTGGTGCCTTTATGACAATTTTAAGTACCAACTTGCCAACAATTTGCCGACAACTTTAAATTTTTATTATCAAAATTTGTGCTATTTCCATCATGTTGTTGTAATCTATAAGGTCATGCAATGCAATCATATTAAGTACTGACAATGCAAGGTAACGCTGCTAAATTACTGTTAAATCGCTGTCAATATTTATATATTCATTTTTGTCTGTTATAATGTCGGTATATTTGAAATGAAGAGCATCATAAGCAATTACAGATTTGTACGATTTCGTTAAGACACACTTGATTATTTGGGTTATAAAAATAGAGTGAGAAATATAATAATTTTAATTTAAGCGGTGGGTTTCTCATTTTTAGGTTTTACATATAGGCGGTCAAATGGATATCCTGTGTTACTGTTTGATGAATTTTGCAACTAAGGAAAATGGAAAGAAACATCAATTAATCACAAGAAATGAAATCATCCAGAAACATCAAAAAATTATTAACTTCTCAAAGAACATAGAAAATCTATTCACGTACATCGCATTGATACTGTTTTTGGTTAACACGCTGATGATTTGTTCACTGGCGTTTGTAATCATAAGCGTGAGTAAAAGATGAAAGTTAAAATATTAATAATTACTGCTTATCGCTTGCTAATAAGTACACGATTTACTTTAATTAATTTCCTCATATTTTATGACACAGATATTTAAATAAAAGCAACTATTTTTATAATTGCATAGTAAGATAACGATTTTTTTCTTTTACAGGCAATTGGTACACCCGATACAATAAAGCAGATAGCAAGATCTATTCTATTTTTCGCTATAACAAATCTAGAAGCATTTATATTTTGCTTTGCTGGAGAATATTTAAATAACAAGGTTGGCGATAAAATAATTTTTATAATGATAATTACAAATGATTCTTGTGTGTTATAGTAAAATATTTAAAAAAGAAGTTATCATTATATACTAACAACATTTTTATAAAATATACTGAAAATCTTTCTCATTATTTCCGTCTTTCTAGAGTAAAGCAATTGGAAATGCAGCATATAATTCCGCATGGTATAACTTGAAACCTGAGGATAGTCGTATCTTATCATTTATAATATTAAGGTCGCAAAAACAACTAACACTCACTGTAGGAAAAATAGCCGATCTCTCCTTAGAATATTTTACAAGTGTAAGAATTATACGTAGCATGCAATTAATTTTGCACATTATTCGGATATAGGTACAGTCTTCTGCAACAAATGCAAAAAAATTTGAGAAATAACTCTAGATGATAAAATAAGACAGAAATTTGAGAATAACGAAATCGTGGTGAATAGTTTTATAAGTACAAATGTTTAAATATCCACATGCTTTAAACAATTTTTACGTAAATATTTAAACGTTTGTAATTAAAAAACAAAGCCAAAATTATAATCTTAATATTCTTAGATTTCGTCTTATTTGATTATCTGTGTATTAGAATAATTTCTTAAATTTTCTAGCATCTATTGCCAAATATCCTGTATATAATAAATTTTATACTTACATATAAATGTATATAAAATTTGTTATAAAGAATATATTAACTTTTCTTGTTCTAAGTACTGGCTTACTTATGCAAATTGGTTTGCATTTGATTAATTTCGCATTTGATTAATTGCGATATTGCTTAAATGTGCTTATTTATAATAATTTGATTAATATCCGTTATAAATTTATATTATCTATAATTATGTATAAAGATATATTGTTTTTACATATAGTTCAAATTAAATGATACTGTTATAGATCATGAATGCCTCGGGATCATATTTATCAGTGATGTTGGCGATGCAATAAACGTCACGTCCGTCTCGTCGAACTTCTCAACTGGTACTTGTAAAATACACATCAGTTAATGTGCAAATTACGTTAGTTTAACAACACACGCAATGCAAACCATTATTTAAAAATATTTAAAGTAATAGAAAGCATGATGTAAAACTACGATCTGAAACTCTGAGATGTAATGTATACATAGTTAAAGTTAGGCAAAGCAAATTCAAAACAGATCAATATTTCTCAAATAAATATCTCTTTAGTATTGACACTGTTAAATGGTTTTAAACGATATCGTGTATATACATAACATGTCCCAGTTTTATTCTATGACAAACTATACTTACTTTTATATTCGACAGTTGATAGGTTTTTAATTAATCTCTCGCAAATATTGCTTCACCAATATAATCAGATATTATGTACACGTCTCGCAGCATCGTGCAATTCAGTTTTCTGTTTCTTCGTCAAAGTCTCTTCATGTTCTAGATTTCAAAAACTTTTCAAAGGATCCCCTCCAAGCTCGATTTGCTATCATATGTACGTACGTCGCTCCGCCCATGTTCGTTTGTGTCGTCGCGTATTTAAGGCAAACAGTTTGCTATCATTGGTGCAGAAGGAAGAAATAATTCTGCCTGTACCTTTCTTTTATCCAAGTGAGGAGGAGCAGCGACGTTGCATATGTGGTCACGATACGATAAAAATATTTAATGAGCAACTTCTATTGGCTATTGGCTTAGGGGTGCATCTGTGTGATTACCTCTTACGACCTCCCAGTCTTCATCCGGATATTTATTTGATATAACATCAAGCTAGTGACTGGAAAATATACATTTAATAAAATCATATTTTTTTATTTTTTTTAAATATATTCTTGCCTACTATATGTGTATACATATCGATGCACTAATTTATATATACGATTGACAGTAAGAATAAATACGAAATTATGACTCGTAAGAATACAATTATCGTACAACAAAATTTATGCTTATCTTGTTTGGCCAGGTACATTACCACGATAACAATCATTCTATTCTGGCACTAACAATGTTTCTCAAAGATTACAGTTCCAACAAAGTATTTGACTTAATAGATTGTTTCAGTAGCTTTTCATCATATGAAATTAATCATTAAATTCATTTTTTTTTTGTTAAATAAAAGTAGTAACAAATGCAGTACAATTAATGAAATAATATACAAATGTATTTTGATAGACTTGTACTTACATTTGTTATTTTTTTATTTAATCAATTCGTATTCTGTCTGTTAAAAATTTCTAACATTTATTAAGAGTAAACGTTATTTTATTTGTAGTATTTTTCGAATGCTTCTTTTTTTTTATTTTTTGGAAAGTAAAAAGAGACGGGAAATTAAAATTTTGTCGCGTTACTTTACGATCCAAAAATTAAGAAATCATTAAATTCGTAGTATAACTTATTATATTTTATCTGACGTAGAATATTCAACTAAATGTTGACAATAATGATAGAAGATTGAAATGATTGCCCTGACAATGACGTTGAGTTGCACGCGACAACATGCAAGGCAAAAATATCAGATTGAATCATTAAAATGATCGATTTTCTTCATACAATAGCAGATTTTTCTTACAGCATGGGCATCATCCTGGCCGATGTTGAAATCACCGATCAAACGACCGAACTCCCACATTCATAAAATGGAAATTCTTTTTCATATGAGTACACTGTTCATGTACAATATTGTGTTAATCATAGAACTAATATATACGCTCGTGGGTTCTTGCTGTGGTTTTGGTTTGATAGATACTTTAATGTTATCTTTAGTTAGTTACAAGTATACAAGTAATGAATACAAATACATAGTTATTTTTAATAAAAATAAATAAAAAATATATTTGAGAAAAATTAATTTACTCTAAAGGTATTTACTTCGTTAAATATATCAGTTCTGTAAAATTAGTCAATTTTTTTTACTAATAAAAGTATTTTTGCAATTTATTGCGATTTAAAAACATGAGTTTTTATTTTCAGGTAGTGGATTCTTTATTTTTAGATTCTACACGTGAGTCAAATAAATATCCTGCCTTATTGGTTTACGAAGCTAGTATCCGAAATTAGCATTGACAGACAAAAATTCACTATTGTTATGGTAAACTAAATCATTCGAAAACATCAGAAGATTATTTATTTTTCTGAAAATATTAAGTATTTATATAATGCACTGTTGCATAATATAACATTGTGATGATTAGCTTATTAGGATTTTTGGTCATAACAGTGAGTGTAGCTAATAAATAGTATATAAATATATACCTAAACATAGTTGGATTATGTTATTCGTGATACTGAGATCGTAGAAACACTTGAAGCTTACAGTCGGGAAAATGATGGATTTTTCGTTACAATGTTTCGCAAAAGTAAGATTTGTGCACAATATATAAGATAACCATCTGATTGTACATAATACATTTATTGTAATTATGTATGTATAGATGTTTATATTTACTTACGTAACTCCTTTTATCAGTTAGATATTTGTAGATTCTATTATATATATTTATTGAGAGTATTATATTCTCGCAATATAACTATAATATATAGCTTGATTAATATATGTATAGCTTGAGTATATAATAACAAATATTAATATTAAATTCTGACGCATTTTTATAGGTCATAAATTCTGCAGGATCGTGTCTAACGGTGTTATTGACGATGAGATGAGCATCACATTCTATCTCTTTGCTTTTCGACTGGTAAATACTAAAATTTCTAGATAGCCAAGTCTGTCAAAAACAGATAATATATTCAATAATACATAAACTCACTAGTTAGACAAACGCATAACACAATATACTGTAGTTTTTCAAATACATATTCAAGTCAGTATAAGGTAATTAAATTAGCAATAAAATAATTTACAGAATGATATCGAACTATATGAACTATCTCTAAGCTGTGGCATCCTGATATAAAAGAAATTGCCATGGTATTCTCGATTTCCACGAATCCCGCGATCTTCTCTTCCTTCCCGACGCGACCCTTCGGAAACTTCTTTGTCTTTCTTTAGATCAGTACGCATAATTTTTTGATGTATACTATAAACCTTGTACATCGACCTCCGTCCTGCGTGATCGTACATTTTTAACGAAAATTGCACGGCACTGTTCCGTGCATAGGGCGGAAGGACGAGGGAGAGAGCACTCGATTTCCCTTCCATCCATAAAATCGGTGGTCGCCGATGACACGCGCTACGACAACTTTATCGTACATGGAGCGATGAAAATATTTAATGAGCTGTCCCCTGCCCGGTCGACGGTGGACGAAGGTAGGTTTCGTGGTAAGTAATCCTCCGGTATCCTTCAGTTCATCCGCAGCGTTTACAGGTGCGCGTTTCATGCCTCTATGTTCCTAAATCTGTTCCGCGATCGCGCTGATATACCTTCCGTTCGTGTTTCGGTTAACTGCGAGCGTTGTGGGTTTATGTCATTAATCCTCGTCGATCGGTCACGTGTCGGCACCAAACAGTCTCTCTCTGTTCTTGATAACTAATTATACTTACGAGTATATACAATTATTTTCCGTACACCGATGACAAAATCTCTGATATCACTTTAAGAAAGTTTACAAGTATCTCTCACTTCCTAGGGAAGAGATTCTCGAAAGAAGTACGTGCATGACCTACTCTATTTTAGCCTCGCTTTATCGATTATGTCATAAAGTGTTCGCGATTGATCGAGAATTAAGTCTTGTCACAAATGATGTCTGCTAATACAATTACCCGATCGATCGAGATCGGACTTCGGATCGTCGGCATCTGGCCAGGCGCGACCTATGCGATCGTCAGTCGATTTTTCTGGACCACGACGATGATAGCCGCACAGATCTTTCAATATCGCCACATGGCGATGCATCTTAATTCCGAAGACATCTCGCAGCTGATGGATGGTCTAAGCGCGACGCTGTCATATAGTTTGTTATGTGTCAAGTTGATTGTTTTCTGGACAAAGCAACGGTACGTCCCCATCGTCGTTACTTGCAGTTCATGACTTTATGTTCGTGCAAATCGAACAAATGTTTGATAATACGAAACTCTCGTATGCATCCGCAATCATCATTAAATCGTATTAAATGGTTAAAAAAACTAGTGATCGTTTGCTTTTTGTAATAAAAAGGCTTCGCGAATACATTAGAAGTCATTGTTTCGGTAAATGACATATCTTTTCTTTCTCATGATACACATCATCTCAACAATTTGTAAATAATACATTTTTAATACCTCCTTCACTATTCTTTCTTATCGTAATCATTATTACATTGGGGAATATCATTATTAGCAACAATGATACCGATATCCATCTTCACATCTTTCGACCTATTCTCCTCATCATTCATCATCGCATAGAGACAAATAGTGTCCTAATCATAATCTTCGAGGGGGGAACATCTTTGCTGTCGCAGTGTTGCACGAAATCAATTCTTCCTAGAATATTCGAGGACGTGTTAGCGAGCATCGCGACGGACTGGAAGGAATGCGGGGATGCGTTGTACAGCATGAATAACGTGGCTAATCTCTCGCATCGTTTCTCCAATTTGATCATCGGCTTGCACTCAACGGCCGTGCTGTTTTATGGCATTGGCGTCGTCGCCCTGCGCAGCGACGATGTCGTCGACGCTGCCGATCGTGAACTTTTTCTCAAAATGGAGTTACCCTTCGAGAGTGGCACGTCGCCAATTTACGAGGTCGTCATGACCACGCAATTCCTGCATCAAATGACGGCCGCCACCGTGATCGGCGTGCTCAGCGCATTGCTCGTTACACTGGTAAGTTGGAGCCTTGGAGGCTTTTAACCCTCGGGGGATTTTCAAGTTCCCGACTGAGATTACTCCCGGGAGTACATCTCGAGAGATAGCTCGCATTACTGCGATAACTGTTCGTATATAGCACATTTCAATTTATTTAAGAAAAATTGGAAGAAAACTTGCTTGTGAAAAATTAATTTCTAAGTGAGTTGATTTGTTGAAATTATTAAATAAGATTTTTAATGGTAGATATCTTATATTTGCCTTTTCTTAATTAATGTTAAAAATGTTGATTGTTACTGTCTTGTGAAAATATTTAAGCAAAATTACACACATTTCTATGAAAATATTTTTTATCTGCAAAATTTTGGATATATCAATAAATTAAAAAATTGTTAATAAATCTCTGTTTCGATAAAAATGTTAAAATGTCTGTTGGCTAATGTAATATTATATAGCATTAGCAGAGACCAGGGAAGATTATATAGGGTTGATCGTGTGAAAAAGCTCAAGTTCAATAACTCAATCAGTATATGGAGAGAGCGTTCTTAGTAAATTGCCAATATAATATTAAGTTGTTGTGAAAATGAGTTACGTTTAAAGCGTTCTTACATTACTCGTAACTATTTTTTAAAAATGAGGAGTAAATTTTTTTATTTCTTGTTTTTTTTTTTTAGTTAAATTAATAAGTTGCGTATTTTATAATTATTATAAAATAATTATTTTATTTACGTTAATACTATAATTACTATAATTTCTCGATAGAAATAAAAATTTTAATGTCAATTTTGCATACTTTATCTTTAAAAAATGTGTTATTGTCATTCCTGACGTATGACAATCAATCTCGAATGCAACTAAGCTGTAATTATCACATGTTCGTAATTTTGTTTAAAATTACATATCTTTTTAATGTTAAATAAGGTACATTTATACAATAATGTATTTTAATATTTTTTTTTATTACCTAATGGATGTAGGTGTATTATAATATGTATGTTTTAAAAATCTACAACCATTTTTTCCTAAAAATCATTATTCAAAAACTGTGACAACCACATTCCATATTTTTAATAATTATTATTTACTTTTACATATTGTAATATTGAAATTTGTGGAGTGAACAAATAATAGATCTCATCAACAAAATCTCTAGGTGCTTCATGTAGGTGGTCAAATAGACATTTTGCGTGAAAAATTATTGGACATTTTACCAAAGGAAAAGACATCATCTGTCTCCATGATTACGATAAGCTCCATAATTCGAAAACACCAGAACATCATTGTTTTCACCGGAAAAATTGAGGATCTATACTCATACATTGCGCTAGCCCAATTCATATCAAACACCATCGTTATATGTTGCTTGGGCTTTATCATCGTAAACGTAAGTAATTTTAATGGCTCATTCGCCGCACAGATTAATCACATTTCTATAATTTACGTTGATGACACATATATATTAAATATTTATAAAAATCAATTGTTACCATTTATAAGATGTTTCCTTTTTTACATACATACATGTGTTTATATAAGTAATAATAACTTATAATTTCAATATTTTTTTATAACGCAATTATTGTTATTTTGTTAAAAGTAATTACTATTATTAGTAATTACTATCATTTCGCGGTAGAAAAGATCCGATCGTGCACATATTTTCAATATTACAGTCGATCGGCGCCAATGAAGGTTCCTCTATGTTAGTGAGATCCCTTTTATTTTACGTCGTCATTAATTTAGAAGCGTTTATCTTTTGTTTTGCTGGCGAATACTTAAGTATCAAGGTGAGCGGTTATTGACTTTAGTTTTTAATACGGTAATTTTATTTCTTTCATCCTTCCGAATTTTCGCTTTGACTTGACTTCCTGCAGAGCAAGATGATCGGCGACGCGGCGTATGAGTCTCTATGGTATGATTTGACTCCCAGCGAAAATCGAATCCTTCTATTCCTGATAATGAGGTCACAAAAACAACTGACTATCACCGTCGGCAAGTTCATGAATCTCTCTTTACAACAGTTCGCGAACGTAAGTTTTACGTAATGTTACTCGGATCATGTGTTGAAACTGTGCACCTTATTACATTCGTGTTACGTGTAAATTATGAACTTTATAATATACAATTTTGTTTGTCGTAGATCATTAAATCATCAGCGTCATATGTGTCTGTGTTACACGCGTTGTAAAGATGTAATTATAACGGGTAATACTGAATTACCAATACGCTAAAAATTAAAATAATGGAAGATTATTATATTTTTAATAAAAGTTAATGATCAGCTGACGTTCTTTGGTTAGTGTCCTTGTATTGCAATAATATTTTCGCAAGCATCGTTAAACGCTCACAGTTTACGTCACCTGTTCATTTAAAATACACCGTTACTTCTGAGAGCACAGGGGAAAGAAAATATTTTTCGTAAAGCTGAAAACGCCCACGTCACAGGTTTTCATCCCCTAAAAGAACTTTGAAACGTCATTCTACGCTAAATTACGGAAGTTACCCCGACGTAGCGGGAACTCTCCCCGTTCTCATTATACTTGCATGTATCTCGGTCTGATGATACCGCGCGATCGTGCCAGATGGCCACAACGAATAGATCGCAACGTCAATGAAATTATACCGAGATTACTTAGCGCTATTTCGCGCGTACAATTAGAACACTTTCACATGGCAATGGAAATCAGTCCCTGAAGGGACAATTTTATTAGAGACAATCGTGTCTACATAATGCAAGTTGCTGTAATCCTATCGCCCCTCGCGGCCGTTCAATTTGAAACTTTGAGTTTACACCCAGTACGAGAGAAAGGAATTTATGCCTGGTGTAGTCTGGCAAAAATACACATCTTCTACAAGCATGTCAAGGTAATATATTGTATAAGGGAATTGTGGAATTCTATCCTTCATACATAATTTCCTTCGTTCGTTAGAAAATTCCGACATGACATTATTCCTATAAAAGTTCTTCAATTAAATCTCGTTTCCAATTAGATCTTAAATTGAATTTTTTATGAAAATGTAAAATAATCATTTATTACAAATGTACGTTTCTAATTTTGTTCCCTAATCATCAGTTCCAATTGCTTGTATTAAATATTTTTACAAGAGAAAAATTTTATACTTTTATATTAAATATTTTTTAATATTAATTATTCATAATTATATTTGAATCTAATACTGCATGGAACGTTTCGTTCAAAAAAATTGCTCTACAGATTTATTTTACATACGTACGCGGAGAGTGTAATCTTCGAAACAAAAACTTTTATTTTTAGCGATGTGTATAATAGAACTTTTAGTTCTATACCGCTGTAGGACATCAACTTTCTAGATTGTCTAAGAATAATATTCTGACAATGTAAACCATCAATTTCTGATTACGTCAGATTTTATGTAACGATACGGCGATTGTCGCCTCATTTTACTAATTGTAAGTACGGAATTATCAGAGTTGAGACGTTAGTGTCGTAAATTTCTTTTAGAATTTCTCATCATTACTCGCTCAAAATTTTTGATTTTTGCATTTATAGTATTAACTTCCTTATGACTTTCTTGAATTTATTGATATGCGCAACATAAAATGTGCCAAGCGAAAAAGACTGTTAATATTCTTAAATAATTTTTTTTAACTAGAAAAACGTGCATTTAATTAATCCGTGTACATACAATGAATACGCTTCTATGGTTTTTGAAAAAATAATATGACTAAGCTGCTTCGTATTATTCTTTTTTATCAGATTGGAATTCTCTCCATCATAATATAAATAAATTTTACTGTAATATATATAAATGTTTTATGAATTATTAAAAAAGTTATATATTTAATTTGCTACATATTTTCCTCTTGTTATTTTCATCAATCATATGCAAAATGTGGGTCAAAAATAAAAAAAGGAGACTCTATATAATCTATCGTTGTCACACTATTTAAAACATAGTTCATTATCGAGACCAAAATTAAATTCGTCTCAAAACAAATATAATTTACTCGAATTTTAATCGAGGTAATTTTACGTTGAAGGAGACCTGGCTGACAATTTTACTTCACTATCGTGAATCTCCAGCAAGTGGAGATCTCGCGTGCGAGTACCCGCGCAGGTAATGAGCGAACCAGTCGTTTCCAACTTTTTGACGTTTAGAGGCAGCGCGATTTTCCGGGGAAAGCTGCGCCAGTGGTGGCAGTTACGGTGGCGGCGGCGACGATGGTGATGGTAGTGGCGGTGGTGGCGGCGGCGGCGACGACGGTGGTGGTGGTGGTGGTGACGGTGGTGGAAGCGGCGACGACGACTTCCCCGGGCCGAGCGAATTGGTTTCCATGGAAACCATCCCGAAGCCAATCCGGGGTGCATTCGTACGTACATTTACCCTTGTCGTGGCGCGTCTGCAGCACCCTCTCTTCTCCCCTCCTTCCGCTTACCGCCCTCAACCTCTATAAACTCGTATCCCTCTCTCACTCTCATCTCTCGCACGGCTCTTCGTTCACTCCGACATTTTTTCTCCGTCTGTATTCCTCTTCCTCTTTCTTTCACTTTCCTTCCCTTTTTGTCTCTCGATTCAAGTTGTTCCTTCGTCCGCAATTCCTCACCGTTTTCTGTCTCTTTTTCCTCGCCTTTTTCGACCATTTTATTTATTCCTTATCCACTTTTGTTGTTTTGTCTGCACACGGCCTTGCCGTATCTCCAAGCTTCCATTTATTACTTTGCGCTCCGGTGATCTCGTCACTTGTGAATCTAAGAATAAAGTTTCCATCTCCATTTAAAGATGTTGTTTAAACAATGAACGTGCACAAATATAAATAGTATTTTTAAATAGGATTTTACCGGACTTGTCTATATGCATAGTTCACGTTCATTTTGTAAATGAACTTTTCTCACGTCAAAATATGATTTTCAATACTAAATTACTGCAACCATTTTTGTAATCTAGGTCAAGAGTTGAAAGAACTGCAATTCAATTGAGTTTCGGAGTATAAATTAAACATTTGGACATTCTGCACAATAGAGAACTTTTAACCAAGAACTTCTCTCTATAATGTTTCATCTTCGAGAAATACACACAAGGGATATTTGAAAGTTTTCACTACGTCGAGTAAATGAATATTAAAGATTATTCTCGTTTAATATTTCTTACGTAAAACGTATTTTTTTTTAAATTAAAACTATTATATTAGAACTGTTTATTTATTATTAAAGGGTTTCATTTGGCAGTCCGTTTATCATAACGTCCATTAATTATCTTGTTATACTACCTCTCTTCTCTTTATAATCTTTGATTTTTCCAGTTACCTGTTAGTTTCTAACAGCATGAACGTTCTATCTTTATTCTCGTTTATTTCACTCCACGAGGTTGTCGCTGGATCCATAAAGCGACGATGTGACATGTCGATCGTTACGTGACCCTACAAATGTTATTACGTGTCCCATTACCCCGGCTCCGAATACTCAGCAAGTCGACGATTCGCAAGGGTGTATTTCGTTCAACACATCATAAGCATTCAAGTCTAGTGAATTACGCGAATTTGCTTATGTGTGTTTAGTGTACAGCAAGAACAATATAAATTTTACTTAGAAACTGGAATTTAGAAGTATACTGCAATATCTGGAAGGTCGAATTTAAAAATTATAATTTGTAGTTTGTATATTTGTAATTTGTATATTTGGAGTATAACATTAAAGCGTAATGCACTGAAAAGAAAATCTGGTAATAGCTACACCAAATGTTTAGTGAAATAATTCCAGTCAAATATTCGATTAATATAATAGAAAATTAATTCTACTTTTCTAAATATTTATTACTAAATAGTTGATAATATTATTATGTTTGGGAATACTTACTAAATATTTAGTAAAGTACAATCATTTTTAATTAATAACTGATTGACCGAACATTTAATTGGAATTATTTCACTCAACATTTAGTAACTATTATCGGACTCTTTCTTCGATGTATTAAAATTTACATCTTATTATAATAACAAGTGCGTAATATACCGTAATACCTATTGTTCTACAGAGAACGTGCAAATCTTGAATCTTATCTGACAGAGATTTATTTCTCCTTTTAGATAAAATAAGTACATGTGGCATTCGTCGATTCTAGAACTTTGCTCGCAGGGGATGTCACGGAAATCAAGTTTCGCCTCGCAACACGCGAACACCGACTCCTTTGTTTCTTTGCGAAAAATCGAAAACGACGTAATGCTCATGCGTAGAGGAGAAAGGAACTTCGTAAGGAAGTTTATAGCCGCTCGTTCAATAATCCTCGAAAGAGGCTTCTTTGTCGAAAGCTTAGAGTTCACTTGCTTTATTGTCTCGTAATACATATTTATATTTAATTTACCGAGTCCTCGAAAACCTTTTCCTTAACCGTGTAAACGACTGTATAATATCACGGAAATTAAATCGCAAAGCACAAACATTAAAACGAGAAGAATTATCTCAATTTCGTTATTAAATCATGATAACAATAATTACTCCAATTTTCTAATATATACATATAATATCTTTTAGTTGATTTACGTTCTTAATGTAAACGTGATTAAACAAGAGAAATTAATACAACCATTGTTCATAATTCACACAATATGATTACAATATGTAAACGAGTACGGTAAGAAAACTGGTTCATAATTCATGAGTTACCCTCCGGTTATCACTCATGAATCATTCGACGGTCACATTCCTGCTTATTCCTGCAACGACTATCGGTAGAATTAATTAAAATTCATACCGAACGCATTACTCGACCGCAATTAACATGCATTAATGCATGGTGTTTTTTTTTTTTTTACTACAGCTGACATGTGCGATCAGACCAATTTATGTAACTTCTTTTTCTCTCTAGCGACGTAATTAACATCCGCGCGCATAATCTAATTGTATGAACATATATGTATATGTATAACAAGTGCACATATTATTGACGCATATTCAAAATGTGAGGCAATCACGCGACGTAGATCGCAATATGGTTCGTAGAAGTAGCGAATTCATATACAACCGGATCCAGCCCACGATGTCCAAGTTTGAACCCGCAAAAAAAGAAAACGAAAAATAAACCGAATTAGCGATGGACGGCACAAAGATACACATATCTCGATATGAACAAACGAATCGCTTCTACGTTCAAGGACCATCCCTTCGCTTTAGACCAAGAACATACGATAGACAAATAAGTGTCGGCTGATTGTACCCGAAGGGCACTTATCTATCGTGTTCCTTGTTGTCCTTACACGTAGACTTCTCGCGAGATCTGTTTTCCTATCCTTCAACCTTTCCGTGTCGTTGCCTTCCTTTTCGTCGTAAAAAAAAATAGTTGATGGCTCGCCACTCTTTAATTGTCCGTGATAAGAAGCAAAATCTCGTAAAAAAAAACTGTAAATTTTCAACAGTAGCGCGATCTTAGCCGAAATATTGACAACTTTCCTGTTGGCTATTTCGACTGCCATTTTTTACGTAATCACTGTAATCCAATAAGCGCTTATTAGTATTCTTAGTAATTCTTATACCATGATCTAGGTATTCATAGTTAGTTATTTTAAGACTATCTTGAGTAATGTCATAAAATGCTATAATACTACTTTCTGGTTTGTTCATCATGACATCTTAAGACTGTACTTAAGATGATCTTAAATATAAGAACTACTAATTACTAGGTTAAAATGGCGAACTTTCACGCTATTCTTGTAAAATTCTACTCCGTAAAAAACTAACTCGCGACACACTGATTGTAAGATGAAATATTTGGAACTAGCGTCGCGCGTTATCGTTTGACGTACAACAGCACGAAAGATAATATGTCCGGTGCACGAGGATGGACAAAACTCTCTCTGCACGTGCTATTTATTTTTGAAGTAATAATTCGCAATAGCTGTCGATACCAATGTGCAAACAAAAATTGGCACGCGCGCGAAGTTGCACTAAAGTTCTCAACGTTGATTTCACGCTGCTTGGAAAATGTCAAGTGCACGCTCCACAGCAACAATTTAATTTTCAAATTGTATCCGCTTCCATATGAAGTATTTGAAAAATCATCGATGGGAGCTCCGTCAAATCCCGTACGTGCGTAGCTGCGTCTTTCGTAATTCCGAAACAATTTAAATTCAAATCGCGCCGCGCCGCAAATCCGTGTATTGCCGTTGTTTCATAACGCGGATTAAAATAGCGGCCGCTTGCAAAACCATCCAGTTCGTCGTGCGTTTTTAAAATATCATATCGGTTTTTACGATAGCACGATGGAAAAAGTTTTACGGAATTGAGAGCGGACATTATAATATTGATAAAATTTTTTCTCACGACGTAAACGTTTTATCACACTTATGAACGTAATTCTTTCAAAATTGCGAATCTCGCTCAAATTACTTGTAACGTAAAAACGGAATTCTTACATTTACGGATGAACGTCGGTGAAAAATTAAAAGTTTGATTGTGTCGATACAATTTTAGCTTAATGAGCGATTTTATAACGATAGTTATACAACGATAATCACCTTGAATAGGTAAACATTTTTCTGTGGAACGATGTTACGTGGAAGAGTAGGTTGGCATCGGTGTTACATGTAATCCTTTGATTTCTGTGAGAATTATTAATATGCATGAGACAAAGATAAAAATGCGATTTTTGTTATAAAATAAAAATATAGTTCGCCATCAAGCGTGACTTTGTGTCAAAATGACATTGTATCGATTTGAATACATTTCTTACGTATCGCATACACGTGCTACCATTGATTTTTGAGCGCAAACACCGGTCACGATTGAGTTCACCCGCAATTTGTCTTACATTAAATCGATTCAAGCAGCTCTCAAAGCGAAATGCTTTAGGTCGAATGCTTGGCTGCACCTCGCCAATTTCGACATGATTTACATTCGAATCGCGAGCAATTCGACCTCGGCTACGAAGTGCACTTATTAAGTGTAAGCACCGGCTGTGAAAGAGACTTTAGTCCCCACGTTAAACGCGATGATAACGAAACTTGGACATCTTCGGTCGTTCGAGCAGCCACCAAGGGTCAGGGTAGTTAATTAAGACACGTCTTTACGCGCGCGCGCTCGTCTTTAGCTCTCTACTTTTCATCCCATGCTCCATGTAGCCTTCTCCGGTGTCCTTTTGACATATTTCGGAGTCGTCATACCGTCGCGATCGAGATCAAAGATATGCTTTCGCGAGTTTTAATGAGACTGAGTTCACCGCGAAAACGACGGCTCTCGTAATTATTCAATTACGGTGACGTTTGTCGTTGAATATCGTCGCGACGTCTACCGAAAAGATTATATCTCACAAAGAGCTGTAGTTAAAAATTCCTTTGTGCAGGGAATTGAGTATTCCCTATTACGTGAATAATATTGCGGTGGAAATTTTGAAATTTGTGAGAGAGAATTGAGTTATGATTTGTCTCTGTGACGTAAAGCTTTAATTTAAGCGGTATTTATTTAATTTCAATTATTAGATATGAAATATTTTAGACGAAATTGTCAGATAAAAAATACACTAAACCTAATTAATGAATCATGACATGATTAAACAATTTAATACAGAGGTATTTCACAAAATATTCATAAAAGAGAGAGAGAGGGAGAAAAGCAACGTCTTTTGAACAGAGAACGTGTTTCGTTTTCAATGTATCACCTTCGAGGATTTCGTATTATTGCACATCTATTGAATGGAGCTGATATCTCTTCTTTGGACGAAACAGCGTGGAATACATCCTTTGACAAATCGTTCGCGTTCGAACACACCACGAATTTAGGGATTGAAATCTTATCTTCTCGGTGCAGACAATCCTCTATTCTCGATCGTATCACTTGCGCCGTGCGTGCAACGCATGGGGACCACCCTTAAATCCTTCATACATTCATAAAGACCGCCTGCAAGCAAACAACTAGGATGAATTCCCGTTTCATCGGCCATCAGGAAGGCCCGTTTACATCCGAAAAGGATGGGCGGAGCGACATATGCGGGCTTCCTTCTTTGTTCTCTCGCACCCTTACGCCCTTATCGATTGGCTTCCACGTGACGGATACGCACGCCGCCACCCACGCGACTGATCGAAGTGCACGCATATACTTCAGGGTGTGTGAGTTCGTAGACACACATGCGTGTACGTGTGCTCGTATAACGCGCAGCAGTCACGAGACCAAGGGTTCCTCGTATGTACATCTGGCAGTTTCCAATGATAACGTCCGAACCGTGAATATCGCTACGATATTTGTTCTCCGATGCACAAAGCGAAAAAATGATTTCATTTGCAGTTCCGCGTGTGATTGTGATGTTCTGCTGTGAAAACAGATATCTCGAATAGTCATTCGTTTTATATCGTGTATCAATGAGCGACAAGTTGTTTTTAAAAAGCTTTGAAATGATAATTCCACATACGTTAATTAAAGTATCCGGTGATTTTAGTAATTTTTATCGCGTTGCAATTTTAATTATAATTCTAAAATGTCTTTTTTTATCTTTATAATTAAACCGTTAAGTTTTAACGATACTATTTTTGATGATTATTCCGATCGAAATGAGTAAGACCGTTGTATTAAATAAAATATGATATCATGGGTAAATAATGCCATTTTACAAAATTTACGGGGAAATTTATATCGTGCAAAAATTAATGGTGCACGTAATTCACTACGTTTCGTTTAATTTCTAAATTTATTAACCGATAAACCCGCTCTAAGGGAAGATATCGACTCATGCTGCGCCTCCCACGTATTTCCTCGCGAAGCACCGACAAAACGGAAAGGAGGGGCTGATTCTCTAGAGGTCTTAACTTTTAATTTTTTAAACGTATCCGTAGATGCTTCGGGAAAGCCAGATGCGCGCGAAGCCCTTAAAAGCCTAGCAGTTACCTTCTGATGGCCGGTACAATTTGTGTTCACGATCACATCGTGCATGGGAAACTTGAGTAGTTAGGAAAAACTGCAGCAGAAAAATAAGCAATATTTTTACGAACAAAAATGTTTCTCTGTGTATGACATTCTGAATAATAAAACCGGTTAACCCTATACGGATTCATACAAAATAAAGATATGTGTATTTTTTAAAAAAATTGATTAATCATGAATATTTCTCTCGGATCAACTTCGAAATAACGTATATTACTGACACGTTTACTTGTGAGAAATTCGTACATTCATCGATTAATGACTACAAATCGATTGACTCTTTTTTCAGCTTTTTTTTTTGTTGCTGCTCGAGCGCTACTATAACAATTCTTGCTTTTACATCTGTCGTGTTCAATGCCTCACATTGAATAGCGTGCAGATCTGCAATGAAAAAAGTAAGCTTTTTGTGTAGCCGGTTTGTCATTATATGGTAGGACCACGAAGTTTTTTTTTTTTTTTTTTTTTTTTAAACTATCCAGAATCACGCCCGTACGCTGCAGACACAGGATCGTCACTTTGGGTATTGTTGCACCCCTTATGTCGCGTGTCACGCTCGCACCCCCTCTATTCGCCTTTAGTTATGCTAATTTTTGCGCGGCTCTCCTTACAAAATATAGCGCAAGAATATAAAACCGATTTCATAGGCTGTCGCGAGCATATTAGTGTATATGTAAAATTTTATATATATGTATGATATAATATACAAAGAGATTAGTTATATACAAGTATACATATGTACGTTATATATTTAAATCATATTTAAAAGAAACGTTCTGCAAAGAATTTAATTTTTAAAAAATTTAATTAAAGAGTATTAAAATACAGAGATTTCACGTTAATTAAAATATCCAGCGTCACTAATACTTTCTGGCGCGTTGCAGTTTTAATTCTGATCTTAAATTAAGAGTCTTTATAATCAAATTATTATTAAAGTTTAATAATATTATTATCGATCCGAGCAAAAAGATATATAAATCCAATATATAAATTAGTAAAAAATATTACCAATTTCCTTTGCGATCAAATGAATACACAAGCGTGATTACTCTCAAGAAATTTTCGTCACTTCATTCGCATTTCTCATTGTCACTATTATTCGCACCAATAAATGATTGGAAATGGACTGCGATTACAGTAATATCGTCCGTACAACGCACACACGCTCGAATGATATTTCTTTATAACTCCGAACGGGAGAAACCGTCCTCACGAGGCCAATCGAGACCTTAGTACATTCCGTATTGTTACGAGGCCATTACACGGCTAGGCGGGGGGGGGGGGGGGGAGCCTGGACGAGACGCGTGTGCACGCGTGCAGCCTCTAATGGCAGATGGTGTTGGGGCTCGCGTTTGCGGCGCAGCTGCAGACGAAAAGGGCGGCACGAGCGAGAAAGGACGAAGGGGAGAGAGGACCCGCGAAATCGCAAGGACCACCCTGTGACCCCCATAACCGTCGGAAAGACCCCTCTCCTCCTCTTACACGGGGGTTGCTCCCCGTAACTCTCGCACGCTAACCTGTTGGTATACAGGGTGTTTCCAAAATACCGCCCAGTATTTATATAGCGTTATGCCTGATGAAAAATTAAGTCGATTACTATTAGGAAATTTTTTTCCACCGTGCTTACCGAAGCAGTTATTATCGACGCGAGAGAGCGTGAATCCCGTTATCATTCTGCAATGCTCACCGCGCGCGTGCCTGTCGCAGACACAACAGTGAAAAGCTCACTCGCATGGACCGCGAATAATGGATGTGCGTTAAGCACATGAAACGGGCTGTCGTTCAGCACACGTTTGCCTCGCTGCGCTGGTTCCGTAAATGGGAAATGCACGCTCTGTCGTTTAAATTGATTAGTATCGGCAGTGCCATATAATCAGATTAAAACAGAGAGCAACGAGGAGCACTCGAGCCAACCGTATGTCGGGATTTTCAGAAAATTGACTTTCACACATTTGTTTGAAGAAATACTACGAACGGACCACGTATTCGAAGTACGTCCGAATTCGATTTGGAGTTCAACATTCTTTTGTTCTACAGTGTTTATTTAATCGTTAAATACTGGGATTATATTCAGGTGGTTACTACGGCAAGATTATGAAAGAAAAGAAGTTATTCATCTTGCTCTAATATTTTATATATATATATATATATATATATACTTGAAAAATAATTGCATTAAGTATATAACACAATTTTGATCATCCACGTAAGAAGTATTTTATAGTAAAAATATAAGTATTATGATTCCAAAGAAATTTATAATCGCTTGTGGCACAAAAGTAATAAACATGAGATAAAAAGAGAAGGAGAGAGGGAAAGAGAGAGATAAAGCGTTTATTTGAAGTTCTGTGGCAAGTCGTCTAAGAATATGCAAAATAAATTAAAACTCAAAAGAAAGCAAGTTATGACAGACGTTATAAACGGTAAACACTGAAGATTAAATAGAGAGTAGAAGATGTGTGCAGCTATAAAAGTATAAATTGGAAATAAAGTAAAATAAAACGAATATAATGAATATTACGCGTATATTAAAATTAACAGAAGAGAAGAGAGAGAGAGAGGCAATGTGCGTTATATTCTTTTAGCTACTTGTTCGACTCGATAAAACGAGATTTTATTGTCGGAACCAGTCGCGATTGCAGTTTCATACTTACACCTATCGTTTCGACGTATAGACCCTATCATGAAATCGGCGGATTCTCAATACTAAACAGCAGCTGCCGCTGCGCTCTTAACGCAGCGGGGGGAGCAGCTGTCCTCTCTCTCTCCCTCTCTGCTCTCGAACCCCGATCCCGATTCTGGTTTTGCTTGTCGTATCTACCGCGCCACATGCGTGGATGGATTCGTCTCTACGAGTGACCCGTATAGCTTCCGAAAAACGTGTTTACCCAAATGAAATGAGTGTTGCGCTCGCGACAGTACATTCGATGTACAAAGCTCGGTATGAACGAATTGGATCGAACGCGCTGATGTTTTTTTCCATCAAAAACATTAATTCTGTTTTTTCAAAGAATCGATTTACAAAAACAAATTCCGATTTTTATTTAAGAACTATGAATTAAAAAGCTATAGGTTCTTCTGTAACCAAAAAGATCCGCGAAGCATATACGTTTTGGAAATATATTGAAGACGTAAATTGTAAGGAAGAATATTGGTGAATTGGAGTATGAAAAGATCGGTCTAAAATGTTAAACTGAATAGATTTTCATGAAACTTCTATCAAACGTTATATTGGGTCATAGGATATTGGTGAAAAGATTTTATGTAGAAATGATCAGGTGGGCCAATACGGCGACTTGGGATAAAGGCTGTGCCGCTTTTCGGATAATGTTTCGTTCTTTATGGCAACTCCACTTATCGATTCTTAAAGAAATACGACATTTATTACGATAGATAGATAAATTATAAAAAGAGTATAAAGAAATTACACATCATTCTAAATTGAAAAATAATACAATAAATTTTTAGTAACGGTTTACCATCTAGATTAAAAGTAATTTAATAAATAGTATTTTTTTTAATCTGTGTTTTTTTCTAATAGAAATGATAGAAATGCACTATAAAGTAATGACAAAATTTTAGTCTTTTAATATACGTATTTTAAGTATTCAAAATGATTTATGTAAATTTACATTGCGATGCAGAAATCAGTTGTTCAATAAGTATACAATAAAATATTTATTTGTTCTAAATCTTTGTATTATAATTAATCAATGAATCGCAATGACACTTTATATAAATCATTTTGATTACTTGAATACTATAAAAACATTTAGATCTTTGTCATTTTTAAATTTTAATTTTTAACAATAAAAATAACGAATAAATAAACTGTCGAAATATGTATATCATTTAATAAAAATAGGATATTATAAACATATTTTTATATGTATATATAATTTGTTTAAAATAAACATTAATATATAAATTATATGTATTATATGTATCTATCGAATCTTCTTAATCTTTCTGAAAAACTTCACAATGCATTCTTTCAGTCATTCGAATGCGAGTATTTTTGATTAGCTTTTTCCCAAATTTCGAGAAGATGGTCTATTAGGTTCCAATTTATTGTACCGATTTGTTATATAAAGTCCTTTTACCACTACGATTCTGCAATAAATAAAACATTTGGTGAAAGTTACATGAAAATCTATTTAGTTTAACATTTTTGGTTCAATCTTTGCATACTCCCTTCAATACATATGTTGAATAACGGCAATATCATGAGTGGATATTTTTGTAACGAGTTTTCCGTTGTTGCGCTTCGATACGATTGACGTAAACCGCAATAAGCGCAGATTTATCGAGTCGGTATATATATATCGATACGCGAGCACCAACGATTTCCGGACCGCAGACGTAAATAAAATAAAAAAAAAAGAAAAGACTCAATCGAGTGCGAAGAAGGTACGATAGAGAAAACGATGAAAATTGTAGACAGACGTGAAAACAATCGGCATGAAGTCTTTTATTTCGTGATATAAATCACTATTTACTTACATTCACCTATCGATATCGTGATAATGCAAAAGGCATAAACTCGGATGAAAGAATCTTTTTATCTCGGGGAATGGTCTGGAAGATTCACAAATATTTGTCAAATCCGGATATAAGACGTTTTCCAGCAAGGACACAGTGTAACACAACGAATCATTTCATTCTTGTTTAACGTTGACAAATAACAAGAATGTAATGATTCACTGTGAAACTGGAGTACATTAACAAGATTATGTTTTTCGAAATGTTTTGTATAAAACATTTGCGACATTCGAAATGTGACAATTGCATTAAACGTTTGATCTCGCTTAAGATCTTAGGAGCTTTCCAACAAGAGACACAGTCGACACAGATGACACAGTGTAACACAGTGAACCATTACATCATTGTTGTTCGCCAATGTTACACGAAGGTAAAATAACCATTGCGTACAATGAGTGTCGCTCGTTTTGAAAAGCTCCCCCTATTATCAAATTCCCCCAGTTTTAAAACTAAGAGCAGATAATCTCGTATTATCGGTCTCATTATTAAAATTCTGTTCAGCCGAGTTGGACTGATTCTCCTCGGCTTAATGAACGTCGCTCCCCTTTCGCGCATCCACATTGTCAATTATAACGTGCATACTACGCGAGGATGATCGCGCGCGTGTCAATCGACTCGCGTCGGCAACCCGACGATGAGAGGGGTGGTTCACCCTCAAGCCTAAGCAGCATTGTCCGCTTGATTCTGGTCCCGCCGCCAGCTGTTGCCATTTTTTTTATTTAGCCCCTCCTCGCTCGTGCTCGCCCTCGGGCTCTTTTGTCGAGTATCGTACTCGTTCATGTCAGTCGATCCGAGCCGAAATTAATCAAAGGGGGACGATGGGTTGCACGTGGACAAGCCTCTTCCTCCTCCTCTTGTCCCCCCCCCCACCCCTTTGCGCAAACGTGCACTTTTCCTCGTTCAAAATATTAAATAGCGCAATCCCCAGTAACAATTCCGCCCGGAGTAATGAGGGAGACGAGGAACAAGGGGGAGAAAAAAGGATCAACGTGGAAATGAAGAAGCGAACGGCCACGTGCCAACCATGGGAATATAATGCCGCAACGGCCACGTGCTTAGTATCTATCGGGTGAGCAGCAGAAAACGACCACTGGTTGCGTCACGGCGGCTTAAGCTTTTGCAATTCCGTTTCTCTCGCGCAGTTGGCAATACATGTATATTTATTTGAATCTGGGATTTATCTTGAACGTGGGATCATAGCTGAGGAGCGTGAAAATTGAATCGCCACCGATGAAGAAAACAGAGGCAGTCATTCCGTATGTAACCCCTGCGATTAAGTAAATAAGTGTGGTAATTGATTCGAGTAGCTTCACCGCAGTTGTAAAAGTATATAAGAGAAAGTATTTCGATTTTAACGTTAATAAATGTGCTTTTATTAAAAATTAAATACATGAATATTATGTTACTCGTGTTAAATTAAAGTAAAAAAATTGCTGAAAATAATCTTCACTAACAACAGTATATAATTATAATGGAGTATATAATTATGGTATTCTGCCGACATTTTTTTTTCACCGGAAATTTGTTCTGACTAATCAACAAAAACCTTTGATATTGACACATCAAGCTGAATTACTTTTCTATGAGTCACTCTGTACTTTCAATGTATCTCAATTTATCAATGTATGATATCGTAAATCCATAAACGGTATAAGAATTATTTACATTACTTATATAAATATTCTTTCAAAATTTACTCCTATATCAAACTTTCACAATCTTCGTCTTATCTTGTAGATAAAATATAAGGTTGAGTGTATTGGACGTTAATATTTGTTATCTCTTCGTTTTTCCATTGAAAATTACAGAACGTAAGATTTGTACGTAGTGGGAAATGGCTTGTTGTAAAGTTCCAGAGACTACGGCATTTTCTGACTCACGCTTTACGTACCGTTGAATCATTTAATACTCGTGACTGCATCTCTCGTCGTGTCGTAAGCGTGAAAAATAAAATCCGAAGACCCGAATGACATGACGAATCGCGATTAGACCATAAAGCTCCGTAATTACAATCCAAAATTACAAAAGGGGGTGCAAATGGCGACGCCATCGCCGTTATAAATTGGCCTGACTTTGTCTGTTATGCCCTTTCTTTCGGCATTAACTTAAGCGTCGATAAATTACTTTCTCTGCATGCTAATAGAACTTAAGCGAGAGGGTAGATAAGAACGACTCTCCATCGCCAACTTTGTGAAATTTTAATCTAACTTCGGGAAAGCCTCATAAGTAAACAGGCGGTGAACGTTTCGAAACGATATTCGCCATTTACGGTATATTGTTTATTAGCGTTTTGTTTTCCATAAAAGTACAAATTTACAAATAAATAAAGAACAAAATAATAACATTAAGCAAAATGTTTCAATCATACATGTCTGTTAATACAACATAAAATGTGTTTAATCCTAAATTACATTTATACGTATAAAAGTCATTTTTCCTGCAATTATAAATCGTTATTTATCAATCACGACAATTCCAAGTGAAAGTGTTTCTTCAAACAAACGATTGTAGATAAGATTTAACATTGTATTAAGACTTCATACTCCTTGTATGATATTTCCTTCCCATCGAACGGAATGTACAAAACACCGTGACTTCTCTGGATCTGTCAAACAATAGTTTTAGGCATATATAAAGATTCCTGATTGCGCAGATACAGACTGTTTTCCAGGTAGAATATGCTTTGTCACATTGCGTTACATCGTGTAAAGTAATTATTAATACGTTTAGTTCCATAGCATCATCAGAGTGCATTATGTGTATTTAGTGTATTTATGGTAGACTTATGATTTTAATTTGTAGACTTAAATTATAAAATTCTTTCAGGATCGACATTTTTTGATGATTTTATTACAAAATAATAGCTACTAAATAATTTTTTTAAGAAATTGATAAAAAAAGTTGACAGAGTAACACTATGTCTCATAGTTGGAACACTTTGTATTAGACACAGCATATCATCTGTGTATTCCTTGTGGAAAACAGCCACAGACTGAGTGTGGCTTGAACATTCACGCGCTATAAATTTCATTCCACCTTTCCGCGTGTAATGAGCGAAAAGATAGAACGAAACAATGTGAACATCGAAACGTCCAAAATGAACGAGCAGTTTAACTCTTAACAATTATTCCGATTCCTAGCGTACCTTTCCTACGCAAGGTGCACCATTGTGATAAACACGGCCGACGTACAGTATTTCCCCATTCATTGTCCTCCCGGCCTCTACCGCGTGATCCGGTACATGACCATGACCTGTTAGGATCCAATCGAAATGGACAGGCATCAATACCTAAGATGTGAAAACCAACCATTATTTCGAATTATACGTCCGCCTGGATTTCGCGACGACGCGACGAGAAGGGAAGAAGGAAGGGGCCGCGAATCCAGCCAACGAAACGACGTACTTCGACTACTTTCCTTCCGACCCTACCCGACGCAAATAGATTAATTCGCGGGCGATCGTGCGGCTGCGTGTAAGCCGAGCCGAGAAGAAATTGATTCGAACGAGCATGATCGAGTGCACGCCAAATAGCAAACAAAGGGTCCGCCTAATGTGGGATCGAAGGGATGTACTAGCTTCAGTAACGCATCGAATCCCGCTATACCGATCAATACTATGAACGTTTCATTCTGTATTCGATATTCGTATACTTCGGTTTTTCATTTTATCTTGAAAGTTGTCGAGAATTATTCTGCACTATTATCGTCCATCAGTATTTTTATGAAGAACATTCCATGATCACGACTATTGTTAATCGGTGGGATGATAAATTAAATTATACGTCGTTTCATTCGTATAGAAGGTGTCTCGGATTTACTATACGACTTCATCAAGGAAGGAAATGATTGCGAAAATAGAGGGAAACTGGAAGAGCAATAAAACGCGCTCGATCGTTTCTAAAATATCGCCGTGCAAATATCCGTGACTAACACACTACGCTCGATCGCACAGTCGTAATCTTATCTTCGCCATCGAAATGAGATGCGCCAGGGATATAGAGATATAAAAGCGACGTGTTCGTGCGCTAAGGTTTTACGCGAACTCTTTAATTCGCTTATTAAGGAAAGGAGGAACAGAGAGCGGCGTTATGAAACCAGTGCGCTCGTAACGATGCGGAGGCAGAAACACATAAAAATGTAGTTCGCGTTACGTAATTATAGATTGATTAAAATTACGATGTCGTGAAAGGTAACTAAATAAAAATAATTGACACGCGATTGATTGGCGTTCGAACCGACAACGGCGTGTAATTGGAACTACATTCACGTAATTGGAAGGGAAATAATTTCGTTTGAAATCCCAACTCGAAATGTCAAAACGTGTGAAATAACGAAGAGAATCGAATCTCTCATTTCTCGCGATCTCTGTTATACCTCAAAGTCATGTTTCATGTGCTCGGCACCTCCGTAGCACACGTAGGCAACTCCATGATCCGGCTTCACTTTTGCCGGCAACATGTCACCCTGGTGCATGGCTCGACCTACGACGAGATTCATGCCGTCCAGGTCCCTACCGATGGAGATCATCATATTACGATCGACGTATCTGGACGACCATCTGACCCATTTGAATCCTACAACAAAGCCATCGAATGCTTACGATACCTTCACGAAATCACTCGTGATGTTTACGTATTTCAAAATGTTTAACCATAATTTATCACACATTCTTATCATATCGATTATTCATCACATTTTGATTCTCATAAGCAGGCAAATAAGTGAGTAATCGTTACAGTGATTATTGAGCAAGGTTTATTATATATTTTCTATCACAAAAAAGATGTAAGATAACAAAAAGATATATAATTCATTTTTGTTAATTTATCGTGTTTGTAGGTAATTGTTATCATTATAATATTTAAATGATTAATAAATAAATGAAATATTAAATAATAATTAAAATATCTAATATATTTATTATTTAGTAGATGATGCACAAAAATAGAATTGTCTTTCTTCTTCATTTTTTTTTAAATCGTATCCTAAGATCAAAATAAAATCAATTCTGTATTTGCTTCACAATGTGATCGTTATTACTGTTTCCTGTTTATATGTAAATTTTACGGTATCACTGCTTACCAGGCATTATTGTTCCTTGATCGAAACTCGCTGTCGCACTGTCACGCTACGATGAATAATTAAATAGCACGAGTGACGATTTGCGTGGCGACACGTTTAAGTGAGAATTATCACTGAACGTGCCGATACTTTGGGCGTAAACGAGCTGAAGTTTGCAATCCCACCATTCGAGACCTTATCAATCTTATCAGCACGGAAACGCATGTTACGTGGAGCATGTGGCACGCCATGTTTGAACACATGAACTATATTATGCTATTCATTCGTCATATCACGCGAAGTGATTCCATACCTATAATAATCTCATTGTTACAACTTTTACTTCAACTTCACGGTTGTGTGACGAAAAGTGTAATATAAGTACATATATCGAGTAAATGCGAATTTATGACACGTAATACATTAATCATTGTTACGTGCAAGATAAAACAAATTCGTAGTAATCGATCTAATCGCATATGTACGTCATCGAGAGCAAATAAAATAATCCAAAAACGAAGTACAATATATTTCGTTCACTAAACCGTTTCAATTTAGTCTTAAAAAAATACATAATCCCATTACAATTATTTGATAAATGAAATATATATATATAATATACAATATATATGTATAATACAAATTTTCAGAGCAGAGAGTGATTGTCAATCCATACAATGCAAGTTTAGCAATCGAAAGCATTTAGAAAGAGAGAAGGAGAGAGAGAGAGAGAGAGAGAGAGGGAGAGAGAAGAACAAAGCTCAGATCAGACAGTCTCGAGCAAAGAAGACCCGTTATTTTCTCGTCGCTGTAAACGTCGCAGTCGTGCCTCGCGAGGAATGCACGACGGCGGAGGAATGAACTTTCTCGTTCGTGCGCGGCAGGAAACGAACGATTTGCCGCGCTCATCGCTCGAGCGAAGAGAAGCCGATCTCTTACGTATCGCCGTGTCGTACAAAAATACACGCGTTACGCGATTCACGATTCACACTTGGCGCGTAGCCGAGTGTTCGGTTATTATTTTGCCAGGTAAAATCTTATTAAAATACAGGTATTATGTAACAAGAGAAAATACAGGTATAATCAAACTATAGGTGAAAATACATCTTAAGCAGTATGTATGTATTATACATGAAGAAGCGATCGTTCATTGTTTCCGTTAAAATCACGATAAAATTAGTGAAGTAAAAGGTTCTTTCGCCGGAATTGCTTGCCTTCTCTAATCGCTGATCCGTAGTTAATTGTGCCACAGGTAATGTGTTTAGAGCAGAGGCGGTCTATTCGTTTAATGAGACGTGTAACGAGCACGCGTGTCGCTTCGAGCGTAAAAACGAGGTAAGCATCTAACGATCAGTCTCGTTTGAAAATTCTGTCTGGTTTTTCGCTCAAAATTTCGCTCGAATTCATCCCGTGATTTGCATTCGATTTTACGTAGGTGCATTTTGTTTTTATGCTCACGCGCTGTAAGCATTAGGTCATCCTTGTTGTCTATTAAACATCGAGCAAGTGATGTTTACAGGCGCGGTAAGTGCAAAACAGAATGCACTTAATGTGTGTCTGACGTGATGGATAGCGTCCGAAATTCGAGATATTTAATCGAACGAGATGAGCCAGGGGTGTCTTTTGCCGTATTCTTATATGCAAAAAGGGTGCAAAAAGGTTTAAGCTCGAGGATGCTTTAATGGATCTGTTAAGGCAAGTGCTATCTTTTGGATATCCTCCCTCATCCTTTTGTGACTAACACTTTTGCTCGCGCTGTGATCGTTCTTTTCCTTTCTTTCCTTTTTCCAATATATAGTGGAAAAAAGGAGATATATATATATATATATACAGAGAAAGAGAGAGAGCGAGAGCGAGTATGTAACCCAAGCCTGACATAAAATATCGGAATCACGATGATATTTGCCCAATACTATTGACACGACAGAAAAGATATCGCAGCGTTCGTTCGAGTTATTCAAAAATTCTCAATGGCGATTGCCAATGTACATTTAAACAGCTGCTTTAATAATATATATATATATATATACACACACACACACAAACTGTATAAAGTATATTCTAGAATTAAAACACAATTCTTTATAAACATCGATAAAAAAATAAATTTATAAAATATAAATTCCACATAAATATGTGACGCAACACGTATACCAATATAATAATATAAATCTCTAGAAATATAACAAATTTGCGGAAAAAAAAACTTATAGAATATGTACGTGAATTGTTGCAATGTTTAGCGAGGGATAATTATTTGTTCCAGTGTTGCTAGATCTATTAATTCCAAGCAAATTGCCGTCATTATCCGCAACGAAACATTTTTACGTTATAGCAACTTGCTTCGACTAGTGCGACTTCAAAACTAGGTTAATTTCATTTAACGAGAACGCTCGCCTTTTTAACGAACGTTAAATCGCAGGATTCAAGCGGAAGTGCTGTAGGTACGCATAGCAGACGCACAACGTCGGGGGGTAGGTTCCGCGGCGGCAAACGCAGAACAAGAGAATTGCTCAAGCCGCTGAACCGAACAAAACACCCTGGCCGGCGCTTTAAGCCGACAAAACAATTCCACCGGCGGAGTGGCGGCTGGCAAATACGTTGCCGGTAGTCAATGTTCCAAAAGGATTCATTTGTCTCGCTCGACAAAACGTCGGACCGAGCGCGCGCGATACCCGCGTTTATTCCGTATCACGCTCACGCTGCATTCAACATGCACACATCCATGAGTAATGCCTTGTTAACGTGTCAAGTGCGATTCTCCGACCTGTTTAAGGCGTTTGAACGCTAACATGTTAGACATGATGACGTTATACATATTTATGCGGATAACTAGAAATATTGTACTCAAAACAGCTCGATTTCCGAAAGATATTTTCAACTTTTGTACATCTCCATCGAAACGTTGATCTCTTTAAAGATAAGTAGTTGTTATTTTTGTAGACGTTTTGTAGCAAATTTGATTCGATGCGACGTTAGATTGCGCGATTGTGGTTGACGATCGAGGATTACTTCTCAGCAGTCACCGATTGCTTTGCTCCGATTGGTTGAAAAGTAATCCTCGATCGTCAATCACAATTGCGCAATCGCTAGTGTAACTACGGCTTTACGAGTACGATCACCAACCGTACTTTTCTAAGGTACATGTACTCTTCTTAAGGTCATAAAACTTCTGATCGTTGAAATTTTATATTTATAAAATTATTCTATAAGAATTGTTAATAAAAATGATATTGCAAAAATTTATTGTATCAAATATCCACATCTAATGCATAAAATACCTCCTTCTATCTCAGGGAATTTGACTTTTTTTCTTGTGATTCAAATATGGTAATCTTATTTACGAGTAAAATGTCGATAATTAATCTTCGTAAAAGAATCAGAATAATCTCTGAAAAAAAATGATACTGTACAAAGCTTTCGATTTCAAATACAATAAATATACGGAACAAATTAACTCTCGCCATATAAAATCGGGAAACAAATCGCGAGACTTTCTTGATGATGACAAAGAGGATTAAACAAAGTACGTTTTCCTCTACTGTGCTCGGTGGTTTCCTCATTCATACCGTGTGATAGGGATCCTTTTTAATGGAAGCTCTTTAATATGCGAACGGAATAGAAACGTAGCTGTATACTTTGAATAAAATGTAAAAGTTCGTCGAAATTCGTTAGCATATATCTATAGAAACTGCTCGAGATAGAAAGAACGAAACTTCGATAATGCCACTCGATGCTATGTTTAAATTAGACGTCTGTTTACATATCTAAATGTCTTTTATTTGTCTCTCGGTTGATACGAATACAGAATACGAAATGTCGTTTTGCGAAAATATAAATTTGTTTAAATTTCTTACTCAGAATGGTTTAATTCCTATTTATATTAATTTTAACCATCTCTTAAATCTTTAAATCTCTGATAGTCTTCAAGCGCAATTTTTAACGACTTCTGTTATCACTTACAACTGTTAAATCACTATTAAGAATTCTGAGTTAGCCAGTAATTCCTCGATGAATGTTATTTTAGCGGCGAAAGGCTAACAAAGGCAAGCAAAAGCTCGAGCTGTTGGCTGAGCCAACTGAGGTGGCACAATAGCCGACAATTTCTGAATATTGTCGGGATATTTAACGTAATTAAAGTATAAAAAATCATTACTAATGACAGTTAAAAATCCTCGTTGTATATTAATCGTTTCAATTTCAGGAATAAAGAAGACATTTTTTTTTCAAGAAGAGTCTTGCAATCACTCCATGTCGGCGGCTTTTCGCCCGGTGAATACGCCACAACAGAGAAAGACGCGAGTCCCGGAGAATCCTGTCGGCAGAAAACAAAGAAACGCCGCGAAGGCTCCACGGCAGAGCATTGCGTTTTCTTTGTTCAAGCAATCCCGCCACGCGACGCGCCGCGCCGCGTCGCACAACGCCGAAGTATCTGGCGTCGGCGAGGTAGAGGGAGAGCTCGAAGCTGGCACCGCGATGGATCGATACAGCACCAAGGGGTAGTGTTATGGGGGTGGCTGGCTCGTAATACACGGGGGCTCGCCGCTATTCCGTGATGGCTAAAGCGTGCGAGTGAGAGACAGTGAGAGGGGGGAGGAAGAGAGAGAGAGAGAGAGAGAGAGAGGAGAGGGAGAGAAAGAGAGAGAGGGGGAGAGGGTTGAGAGGAGACAGGAATGAGAGAGGAAATGTACGTGCACACCCTCTGCTCTAACCTGGCGGAGGCAGAGCTAGCGCCAGCAACATCCCATTCGTCAATTCTCGTCCCTCGTTGCTGAAGGCTCTTTCTCTTTGTTCGAGTTCGTTAAACTTCCAGTCGGCCGACGCAATCCCTACCTCCGCGCCCCTGGACCTATATCCTTTAACCGTTTCCTCCGTCCACCGCGCGTTTCTCGCACCGGTTCTTAATTACGACGGGTTTGCGTCTCATTTCCTTGCGCTTAAGTGAGACTCACCTTGAGATTCGCGGCACGAGCTCGAAGTACTACAGTATACACGTCTCACAGTTATCCCAATTATTTGCCAACACTTTGTACTATTACAATACGCTATTATCCTAAATAATGCTTATTGTTCCTCAGTTTCTTTTTTTTTTTTTTTTTTTTTAACCATTATGCTATTAT